TTTATAACCGATATTGCATAACTTTTATTTCATAGATATTGGTAAGACATAATCTCAAGAGATGCATCTTTAGAGCTAAGTGCAACTTTCTCCTTTAGCTAAATTTCTTTAAGATTCAAAGTAGCCACAGAAACCTGAAATTAATGCTTACAGTTAATCAGTTATTTGCTGTATTTTCTGTGGTGCTTCTGCTCTCAAATAAAACCCATACTTTGTCTTTTTCTTTTTCTTTTTTATTCTTTTTCTTTTTTATTCTTTTTCTTTTTTATTCTTTTTCTTTTTTATTCTTTTTCTTTTTTATTCTTTTTCTTTTTTATTCTTTTTCTTTTTTATTCTTTTTCTTTTTTATTCTTTTTCTTTTTTATTCTTTTTCTTTTTTATTCTTTTTCTTTTTTATTCTTTTTCTTTTTTATTCTTTTTCTTTTTTATTCTTTTTCTTTTTTATTCTTTTTCTTTTTTATTCTTTTTCTTTTTTCTTTACATTTTTCTTTACATTTTTCTTTACATTTTTCTTTTTCTTTAAATTTTTATTTTATCTTGAGTAATCATGACAGAGCAACATAGAAACCATTTCACAGCTCCTGTGTCATGGACGTTTGTTATCTCCCATGGTTCACAATGTTTTGCAATTTCCTTTGGGGACATACATTGTAGCAAAAAGTTAATTTGCCATTTTCCATATTTATACTGCAGTCCAAACATTTTTGTATCTCAGTGAAATTCCTGACTGCAATTTATCAGACCTCAGCAGATGACTGTTAGTCTGATGGTATGGATTGTGTTATAAGACTGTATTGTGTCAGGTACCCTGATAGGAACCACCTTGGTTTCCTTCCAGCCTACAGTGGGACAGATCTCATAGTATAGATAGAGAGCAGTAGATGTGATACAGTTTGATTTTCCTAAGACTTTGCCAGTGTCTGATACATTTCTCCAAAGTATGAACATTTGGATTAATTCAAACTTCTGTAATGGTGAAATAAATGACTTGGAGCACTCTCAAACTGGCCTTGTGTCAATGGAGTCCTACAGGAATCTCCCTTAATCTGGTACTCATTAGTATTTCCATTATTACTTGCATGAGGGGCTAGGGAGGCATGTATGGGAATACTGTAAGACACAGACTGGGGTAGGATTGCAAGCCACTTGACAGGGTCGAGAATTCAAACTGAGCTTGGGAAAATAATGTGGAATAAATAGGGTAGAATTCAGCATCACTTCATCAATGCACCCAGGTGCAGTGCTCTGGTATTAAGTGACTTCATGGCTCACTTAGGGAGATAGAATGAATAGGCAGTAAGTCCATAGAACAGGATCAGAGGGTGGATCCCAGTCTGAACACAAGTTAAATATGTGAAGTTCAAGGGGAAAAAGAGAAAAATGCCTCCCCCAGCTTCAGTAAGCAAGAGCATGGAGCTCTGCTCAGCACTGCCATAGCCCCACCTGGAGCACAGGGCCTGGATTTGGGCACCACGTGCCACCAGTGACACAAAACGTGAAGAACCAGTTATAAAGACTAGAGAGAAGAGACTTGCTACAGGTTTGTAGCTTATCTGAGGAGTTGCTGTAGAAAGGAAAGGTAACTGTCCTCTCCATTCACAGAGGGCTTGTGGAGCAGCTCAGCAATGCTCATCTCTGCTGACTAGGGGAGGAATGTGTGGGCTTTCCCTCGTGGGCAGTGTGAAATGCAGGTTAGAGAAGCTTCAGTCACAAGCATGTCAGGGATAGCTAATCTGGGCACTTGTTGGGACTGACTAACCTGTTCACAGTCTCTTCTGCTCCTATTTCCTGTGATCCCATGCTGACTCCTCATCTCCAGGCTGCTCGGTGTTCTCCCAGTCTGCTCATAAACCAGTTCATTTACCTACTCTGTCACAGAGAGATGAACCATTTAAAATCATAAAAAGGGGGTTTTGGAGCCCCTGTATTCCTCACAGCATCTGTGGCTGAAGAACAGTGAACAGTCAGATATTTCAAGCCTACACAGGACAGCAAAGGATGGGAGGCGACACAAATAGACTTCTGTGATAGAAAAGGAAGTCTGGTATGAAAATCAGTGTGTCAGGGTTTTCAGCAGAACCTTCAGGCCCTGCAACCTCTTACCTCACTTTCAGACTCTTTACAGCCCAATTATAGTTCTGCAGATGGTGTTTATTTTATTGTGCACACACATAAGGGGAGAACCGGGAAGAGCTCTGCATCTTGGTGGTGAAATGCTCCCTGCAGGCATAAATAATGCAACAACTGCTTTTATTATCAGTGTTGTATTAGAAATAGTGTGGCTGTTAGACCTTAATGATGTCTAATAAGATCCAGCAACTGCCTTTAAACTTTTTCTTGGAAATGTGAAGATATTTCTCCTTTTTACAGCACAGATGTCACACGCTGATCCTGAGAAAAGGGATTAGGGTTAAACCACTATCTTTGCAAAGGAGGTACTTCTGGTGGAACCCAGAGTTCAAGTGTTTTGGTGCTTAGGTAGCAAGAAAGAGAAGGCATCAGGTCTCCTGAAGTGCTTGAGCCACATCTCACATCAGCGTCTCTTCCTTGTAATTCCTCTGATAGTAATTGGCTTGGTCCTCAACTACCCTGAATTATCACTGCTGGGAGCATTATTGGAAAAGTGATTTTTTTTTTTAATTATTATTTTTTTTTACAGGCTTGGGGCAACAAAAAATGCTTAAATATCCTCACAAGGACTGCAGAATAATATATCGAAATAGCACATTTCTAATTGTGTTGGGGGAATTGCGGCTTAGATAGCTAAAAGTATTCCTTAGAATTTGCTATATTGCATAAGTGGTGAAAATCAAAAAGCCCAGAAGACAGCAAACAGCTGAAATTAGCTCCAGCTTGTGCCTGAGTGTTATTATGTGTCTCATCTGAGCCATGCAGTGACAGTCATCATAGAAGCTGTTATAATGGCTGTAATTAATGACAAAAGGAACAGAACTGATGTAATTTTCTTATGCTGTTCTTTAGTCCCAGGAGTGCGGGGCTCTTAAGCAGTTTATTAAGGTTTATCAAGCAGGATTCTAAAGAATTTGGTGAGTCTGGTGGAAACAGGGAGGTGCTGTTTCTGAGTTCTGCTGTTCCATGTTTGCTTTGGACCCCAGTAGTCAGCAAAGGCTAATCTCATCCATAAGTTTTGGCAGTTGGCACATGCTGCTCTGTTTTTTCTCTGAGGACTGTGGGACATGTGAGACACACTTCAATTGAAAAATGACAGTTTAATGTGGTTATTTTTAGAAGGAAAAAGAGAAAGAGAAGATACTTGTAATATACAGCAGTGCCTAATTTCTTTCATAACCAATTAAAGTTTTGGCTTCCTCTAGTGACAAAAAAGTTTGGACAATCTCAACCCTCACGGCTCCATTTATCGCTTGTTTATTATTCTGACAAAATAACATTTTGAAAGGAAAAACAAACTAGAAATTATTAATGCTGGAGTTGCCTGGAAGTGGGATACGAAACTTGAGTCTACCCCAGGTCATGTGGAACGTGTGTTACCACTGTGAAGGCCGAGTAGTCAACTGCTGTCAGCCCCTGCAACAGGCAACTGGGTTGATTTACATCAGCTGAAGTGTCAGCCTGAAGGTCCTGTTGCCATTCCACATCAGACCATCCAGGGAGACTGTATGGATCTGTACCCGATGCTGATGAGCATGATCAATTTTCCTCACAGGCACCATTTCTTTTATTCAGATTTTTATTAAGGTCTGTTAATAAGCTTTGAAACGTCTCTAAGTGGAGACACGCGTAAGAAATACTGACAGAATAACAGTGTCTTGTAATGATCAGTTACTTGTTTTCCAAAAGGCATTTAAAATTTCAACTATTACTTAATGAGAAAAGTCTCATGCCAAAAACATAATTTTCTTAAAGAGAGTGGCAGCAGCTCCATGAATTCCATGCCATGAGTTGACTCCAGGTGCCATTGGCAAAACCAGCCTCCAGCTCAGCACTGATGTGGTTCTTTACTCTGAAAATAAGCTCAGCTGGCACTGATTTGTTACAGTCACATCAGAGGGAAGACTGAGAGGTCTTCATGTGCCTGTGGTCTGTAGCCAGGCTTTGATTGCAGTCTTGGTATTTTGGGATCATCATCTATTATCACCAAAGGCCAGTGAGAATCCATGAGGTAAGGAGCACAGCTCCTTATTCTACTGCTCATAGCAAACTGGGAAGCCTGCAGTAGATCTGCAGTCTCCTGCCATTTTGAGGTGAGAGGGAGTTATTTATTCTGCATTTCTAATGCTTGGATGTAAAATCATTTCCACAGTGTTGAAGTTTAGGGTTATTATACTGTGAAAGCAGAATTTCCTACCACTGCTATCGTTTCAGCCAGTCAGGAAGAGCAGTGACTGAGAGGAGAATGTCATGAGCAATCACTGGGTTGAAACCAGCAGGTTCCATATCAGTTTGCTGAAGTGCTGTGTGGGAGGTTCTCTCTGGTACTGTGAGGCCACATATATATCCATTCAGCAAGAACACTGTCTCCAAAGATTTCTTGGTAACAAACACAATACTGCTGCAAAATACACCCGTGTGGCTTTCCTATGCTCTATGATGCTGGTGCTCCTTTTAGTGCCTTGATCTGCAGGGAAAGGGCAAGATAGGGAGGAGCAGGGAGACATCACAGGAAGATCCAGCTGTGCTTTGTTGGGAATCTGCATGTAGATAGAGATGGAGCCAGGAGAGCAATGGGAAAGGAGGAGTGAGTGGTTCTAATAGGAGCTGGTTGAATGAGAATTATGAGACAGAGAATGAAAGGTGTGTTTCACAGACAGGTATTTTCTGCCTCCTTAGGTGCTGTGTGCTTGGGGTCATTGCAGCAACTCAGGCTGTTGCTGAAGGAGGGTTTCCAGCATGTCAGCATGGCAATAAAGAAAGGGCTCAGGGTGTCAGTAATACCATTTCCTGCTGCTTTTCTTGATGGAAAGGATATTGTGATCATTTCTGGAGTGGAGTGTCCAGTAATCTCTGGTTTGTTTTGTCAGGACCTCTGTGAAGACCCCCATCTGTTTGTGAATGGAATCAGCTCCCATGACTTGCACCAGGGCATCCTGGGGAACTGCTGGTTTGTGGCTGCATGTTCCTGCCTGGCTCTGAGGAAATGCCTATGGCAGCAGGTAGGTAATAGATGTGCAAGATGCATGGAATAAAGCTAATAAACCTTGGCTGTTTCCTTGTCTATCAGCTAATATTTTTCCCTCTAGGACTAACAAGTAGTGAATTTTGGTAGATTCAAATCTTCCCTTTCTTTAAAAGTTCATTTCTCTTGTTATGAGACCCCCTCACTCCTCAGTCCCACTGAGTAGCAAAGAACAGATATAACAAAGCTAGAGAGTGCAAGGGGTTCTTTTTATCTCTCTCAGCAGATCAATATGAATTTTATTTTCCTAAAAGATTCCTTGATGCAGGATTACATTTGGACTTTGTACCAAATTCATCCTCTTTTTTCACTGCTTCATTTATTTAGGGTCAAGTGCTCATGAAGCTGAATGCCAGCAGAGTGCATGCTCCAGGGCAGTCTGCCCTCAGAATAAACCTTAACAGAGTGCACTTGCTGAACTCTCCCTTCCATGGTTTCTCAGGTGATTCCAGACTTTAATGAACAAGAATGGGACCCTAAAAACCCAGAGAAATATGCTGGGATTTTCCGTTTCCGCTTCTGGTGCTTTGGAGAATGGACAGAGGTGGTTGTTGATGATCTGCTGCCAACAATGGATGGGAGGTTGATCTACTGCCATTCCAATGTGAAAAATGAGTTCTGGAGTGCACTGCTGGAGAAAGCTTATGCAAAGTATGAGCTCGTTCATTGTCCTTGTAATTCTCAGTGTTGTCCCTTCTATCCAGCTATTTGTTTTGTCTTTCAGTTCTACCAGACTTTCCCTAGGTTTTAAGGTTGCTGCTAGTAGAGAACCTAAGAAAGTCTGAAAACTCCTTCTTTAATCTGCATGGAGGGGTGAATCATAAAGGAGTGCAATGCAGTCAACTGCAGCAGCCCAAAGCCTTAGGGATCCTAGAAACCAGGAAATCTCTATCTGCAATCTGCTGGGGTTTTCTTGTTCTGTTTTGTTTTTGACTTGGTGAGACCCAAATATATTACCTACATTCAATTAGAGCACTTGTAACAGCCTCTTGGTATTTGAGAATGTTCTGTGTTGCCTCCAGGTTGGCTGGATCCTACGAAGCCCTCGATGGAGGCAGTGCTGCAGATGCTATTGTGGATTTCACTGGAGCAGTGGCAGAATCTATTGATCTGGTACAGGGCAAATATGGAGAGATTATTTCTGAGCAGATGAAGCTGTTTGAAGACTTGATGAAAGTGCATAGAAGAGGCGGGTTGATCAGCTGCTCCATCGCGGTATGTGCAGAGAGCTGGATTTTAGGAGTTAGTTGAAATGTTCTGGAAGAAATACTATTATTAGTGTATTAAGTATGTCCTTCATTTGTATGTTTTTGAAAGCTTTGTATGGAGTAATCTACCAAGTTGGCAGTGCTGCCAGCCCACTACAGCTCTGGGAGCCACTAAATACAATCACAAAACTGCAAAGCTGCTTGTGCTGCCACTTTGCTGTGGGTCTGAAATGCTGTTCTTTCTCAATGGTCACAGTTGTGTACTGACCCGAGGTTAATCCACCTAGAATGCCCTAATTTACAGGCCAGATGGCAGCGTTCACTTTCTTTATTCCTTAGGGGAATCTGTTTAGAGAAAGCAGTTCTGCTGACACCGAACTGCTGAGACTCCTTGACCTTAGTTGTGATGGTGCAGCCAGTGTAACACACTGGAGCTGAGCTGAAAGGCTGAGCTCACCTGGTTATTTGGGTAGTACTGTTTGCTAATAACCTCCCCATTAGAATTAACCAGTAAAACTTGTCTACACTGGCTCATGTGAGGCAGGTAACTCGGGTGCCTACATTAGGGGGCCAGGACCCTGAGGCTCCCTTAGTAGAGAGGGGATGGCTTCTGTGGTAGCAGCTCCCAAAGGGTTTTATATACTTCACAAATCACAGGCAGCCAAGGGCCCTGCACTGCCCCTTGCTATAGGAGGGAAACCAGTGACAACTGGGCTTAACTCCTCTTCTGTCTAAGTCTGCAATGTCAGGCCATGACTGGGTAGTGCTGAAATTCTCACCTTGCCTGAAGCTCTTACCACACGTGGAGGGCTAACAAACTGCCTGAATGTTTCCTGAAAGATTGCCTTTTAAATGAGTTTTAAAGTGCAGCCTGCAGGAAAGGGATCATTCTCTAGGAGCTGCAGGGTTGGCACTTAGCATCTTCTTCCCATGCCCCCTGCTTCCAGTTTAAGACTTTGGCTAAGGCTGATCTTTTGTGGACTTAGTTAAATCACTTAAACACTTTGCTGTACTTTCCACATCTGTGAAATGAAGGTCATAGTGTAGCACTTCACATACTAGTATTAAGTGCTTAACACTAGTTAAGTGCTACAGCAATAGTGTGGCACAAGTGTGGATCCCAAAGTGCTGCTGCATTCAGAAATTCTCGTGAGTCTCATGGTAGTCGTGGAGTTGTCTAGAACAACAGAAAAGCAGCTGTGTTTGGAGGTGCTTGAGCACATTTGGCCGTCCCTGGCTGTGCTCTGCCCTGTGCCAGTGCCACGATACCAAAGAAGAACACATGGTACCTCCTGGGAGATTAATTTGAACAAAACCTTCAAGGTCTTTGGTTTTTGTTTTACCTTTTTCATAAGGTCTGAATTTTTGTTTGAAAGAATTCCATTCAATTTGCTCAGACCAGCCTGGCAGACCAGACTTCCTGGTGTGAATTGCTGTTGTAAACATTGTTTCTGGAATGATAGGTTGCTCCCAAATGCTAAGGCAGTTCTGTTTCTTAAGGTGTATCTGGTGAGGAGATATGCTAAGTTTGTATTTTAAAAAGCAATTAATTAGGCAGTTGTAACACTTTCACTTCTTCCTGGCATTATGTGTCTGTCTGTCAAATTAAACACAAATGCTTCTAATCATTGATTACAGAGGGGCATTTCCTATGTTTGTCTACATTTGTCAGTTTTTGATGTATTATACACACAATGAAGCTTGCTAGGTGCAGAATATTTAATACTCAAGTGGCTTTGTTGCTGCCTTACAAGCGTGTCACCATTTTCCTTGGATCACAAAATAGCCCTGAGCATCACCGTTTAGAAATCTGAACAGACACTAGATATTTAAATAAATAAATAAATAAATAGATAAATAAATGCCTCTGGAAGGAGGTGGGAAAGGCAGCCCAGCAGTAAGAAAAGCCTGGGGGTAATAAAGGCAGCAGGAGAAGTTACAGACTCCCATGCTGTCAAGGACTCTATGTTTGCTTTTAGTTGTGAAAAATGCAAGTGAAAGTGTTACTCTGGAGAAAGCCCAAACCCACTGGAAATGTTAGCCAGTCTCCATGTAACACATGAGCTGATTCTTTGGGAGCTGTTGTTGGTGAAAGGCAAAGAGGGCTTGGTGAGACTCTCACAGTTGCCGGACCATCTGTCAGTTCCAATTTGATATAAATTTCTCATTCTCCCCTTTTTTTTTTATTTTTTTTTTTTTTTTTATTTTTTACCTTTAGGAACTGAACATTCTTATATCAGTGCAACTCTTGCTTTAGGAGAAGGACTCTGTTTAGACCAGTTAAATTTTTAAATGGGTAAAAATGTCTGCTTAGTATAACTCTTATAAGTCCTTGTTGATATTGAAATATTTATATATTTATTATAATTATTACTGTATAATGATAAACAATAAATAATATATTTATATTTAAATATTTACATTAATACCACTAAGAATAATAACTCTTGCTCTCTTTGCCACAGCAAAGGCTTGATTGATCATTAATTAGGTTATTACAAGTTTGCACATAAGGATCTGCACTGAGTCAAATCTTGCTTCCTTGCTGTCCAAGGGAGTGAGTGTCTTCAGGCCCAATGGGTTATAGTCCAATATAGATAAGAGAATCTCTAGCTATGGCTCAGTGCAAGGATGCCCATGCTGGCTCCAGTGAGGATGTGAAGAAGCCAGAGGCAGGACAATTTGGATTGTTCCTGGCTCAGAAGAAGGGTTATAACACTGGCACAGCTTTATTTTCTCCACTGTCCTGCCTGGCCTGTGTTGCTCAGAAGCAGCATTGTGCTGGCTTTGTAAAGGGCCAGTCCTTCAAAGCAGCTCCAACATCTTTATATGATACTGCTTTTCTGGGTTTAGATTAGGAGATTTGGATGCATTAAATGAAATTGTCGTATTTTTCAGAACTTGACAATTTTTATGTATTCTTAGATCAGCTTCTGGTCAGGCCTAGGTCATCCATCAGGACAGTTTACTGCCTGATCACTGCTGGAAACTAGGCATGCATGGGTGAAGTTCATGAGGAGCAAACCCAGCTCCTAAATAAACCTGCAGATCTGCCCGTTGCCAAGTAAAGAGAGGTACAGGACAGGTTTGAAAAATGGATAGAAAGATTTATTGCCTGTGACCTCTATTTTTATATATCAGCAGTAGTTCTTCTGGGATATCAAATTGACTCCAACACAGACACAGCCATTGGACTCATGAGCTCAATTCTTAGGCCCTACGGAGCGTCCAGCTGAGGATACCACTGGACAGCCTGAGCACAGTCACCAATATCCAGAAGAGTAATTTTGTAAAGATTACAAGATTTTGGAATTCTTTAACTCTTGGGGACAGGAAGAGACAAAATGGCTGTAGCAGGCAGGATTCCCCTAAGCTCTGGGTTTCTGCCTGGTAGGAATTGTCCAGCAGTATCCTGCACAGCACCAGACCAGCGAGCCACTGTGAACCCCAGTGCTGTTATTTTCCTGGACAGTCAAATCACTTGGGAAGGGAATGGAAAACAAGCCTTCCTTATCTTTCCCCTTGACCTTGTAGCTCTCGAGTCCCTCAGTGATTTGAGTTCTACTTTTTAATTGTCATTCTTTGTGCTCCAGGTGTCCTCTGGCCGTGCCAGTGAGGTGGAGACAGAGATGGGGCTTGTTGTTGGCCATGCCTACTCGGTGACTGGAATTCGGAAGCTGCGCCTTGGAGAAAGGCTCGTGTTCTCTTTTAAGGCAGAAAAGCTGTTCATGATCAGGCTGAGGAATCCTTGGGGAAAAAAAGAATGGAACGGAGCTTGGAGCGACAAGTAAGTGCTGCAAATCCAGTGTCAAAGGAATGAAACTGTGCTGGGGCCACTGGACGAGAGATACGTGGTTAAACACTGTTCAGACACAGCCATCCTCAGTGACAGCTGAACCTCTGTGCCATCTCCTCCCAAGCAGAGCATTCCCTGACAAAATGAGCACATGCTGGAGGAGCTTAGGGCTTCCTGGACCTTAGTTTGCTGTATACACCATTGTTCTGGCACACTTGGCACATGGGCTGAAAAACAGCCCACAATTAAGGAGATGAGTCAAGAACGTGAGGCTTGTTCCCAGCTTCACCACTGAGTTTGTGACTCAGTTTCTTGTCTGTAATTGCCAGCTGCTGGAGGTGCCATAAGTCTTTCATTCTTAGATAATTTAAGTGATTGGTGAAAAATGCTGTAAAATTGCTACATTTGTGATTTCTTGAATTATTTTCTAATGAATTTTCATGTGGTCTTAGCAGTCCCCTTTACAAGCAACAGAAATGATCGCTGGAGGGGATATATTCCATCACAGGTGATTTGTACATGAAAAACGTGTTACAGTTCGTATTAATTTCTTACATCCTATATTTTAGCTAGCAGAAATCTATTACTTTCGAAGAGATTGGTCCAGGTGAAATGCAAAGAATGCACAGAAGAGCTACTGTGTCCTTTTTTAACTTAAACCCTTGGGCTTCTCCACTGACTTGTGTGTGTCTTGGCACAGCTGCCACTCATGCCAGTGGAAGCACTGAGGACTCTGAGGTTGGACCATGGCTTTTGGCCTCACAGAATTAAACTGACAATTTCCAAATGGGTTAAGAAAATGTCTGTTATAGTAAACAACCTCCCTTCCCTCCTGCCAACCACCTTCAACTTTAGCCTCCAAGTACTTTTGGAAAGGGAATGAGGAATTGTGGCTCTGTTTGTCCGATGTAAGACATCAGGGAAGGGGCTCACGCAGCCTATTGTTGGATTTCAGCACGAGACTGATGCGTTTTGGGTCTGTGCTCCCCTGCAGTCAGTGGAAGAGGCAGGTGCCTGCAAGGCAGAGCACTAAGCTCATGCAGGCAGTGAGGTGTCTGTGCAGTGCAGTGTTCCTCTGGAAACTGGACACTAGGCTCACGCTCCAGCAGTTGCTTCTCAAAGGCTCTCTGGGGAAATCTCAAGCCTGTTTATTAAGGTGATTAAAAGACAAAGAGAATACACTGGTCTAAGTGAAGCATCCAATAATCTCCTGAGGAGGAGAACCAGATTTCATTTGAAGGGCCTTCAGGGAATGGATTCAATCTCCTATGACCTTCCAAACCAGCTGTTTAAGTGTTTAAGCATCCTAATGGAGAGTGTAATAAAGGAAATCAATAAGGTTCTGCTCTAGTTGTGCCAATTTCCCATTAATCTCTTCCTTTTTTAGTAGCTTTCAAATCAATTAATGGTTTAAAACTCCTCCTGCAAGCCTCACATTTTCTTCCTGAATATCATCTGCCTTTTCAGTACTCCAATGTTACTTTCAAAACAAGGGGCCATGAGAGATTTTTACTTCTAATTTTTTTCCAAGTGATAGCATTTATTAATCATCTTTGTTGTTCTCTCTTTTTTTTTTAATTCTTTTTTTTCCCCTTTTAGTTCTGAGGAGTGGAAGAAAGTCAGCGATTCAGAACGCAAGAGCTTAGGGCTCGTTCTGGAGAATGATGGGGAGTTCTGGTGAGTAGCAGAGATGTGAAGGGTTTGGAGACACTAGCTACAGTGAGTAATAAATCTGCCATTTAATAGCTGCAAAACAATTTTCCCAAATGAATAAGATTATCCAGTCCTGGCACAAGCTCTGTTTCTTTTAAAATCTCAAGGGATGAGAGAGAAGAATAGAAAAAGCAGATTAAAAACTAGTAGAACAAAATTAGTAGCTCTTAGTAAATATAAGTTTCAAATGCCCTCGAATTCTATTACCTATATTTAGGACATTCACTCAATCCAGACAACACATGCTGGTTTACATGACAAAATTCCAGGTATTGAACACACAATCAAACCTGTTCACTGACTGCTGTGCCTGAGTTATCTATAAATAGAATTGCAGCCAATGAATTTTGATATTTGTTGGTGTTTTCCAACATGGGCATGAGGAGCATTCATTACCTACAGAATCTCTAAAATTCTATTAATTTTCACTTTGCTTAAAGACCAAATACTTAGTCCAGCAACTTCTTCAGTAGATCGTCAATACTGCATCAAGTGTGCTGGCAGTGCTCAGTATGAAAAGCCTTCTGCTGGCTTTGTCAGAACTGGCAACCTCAGAGTTTGGCTCTGGGCCATTAATAAGCCAAGGCATGATGGTAGTTCAGAGATCCCAAGCTGTTGGGGGAGGTGAATGTTTTTTAACTGCCCTGCAGTCCAGCCCGTTGCTTCAGCAGGCACAGGTTGCAGCAGTGAGATGGTGCTACATAAAAGCTATGTCCAGAGCACAGAGATTTGAGTTGTGCTCAAGGACAGATGTGACAATAAGGACCGTAATAATGAGGAGTGGATCATGCTTTGGTTGCAGGTGATCTCTTTTGCCCTTGCAAAATATATGTTACCAAACCCAGCTTGGTAGATACAACCTGTCCTCTAGGCTTAGGAGATGCAACAGAACAGATCCAGACCTGACCAAACACACTAAGTGATATTTCTCTAAATTAAGCTCTAAGAATGTGTGATTGTGGCTTCACAAGTATTTCCACATGCAGAGCTTCCCACTGGATCAGTTTGTCCTCTGGACAGCTGAGCAATGCCTCCTTTTAAATTACTGGAAGATTTTGTGTGTTATTTTGGCTCTTTGCACGAGTATCACAGTTTATTTTTAAATAAACCACTACTTTCCTGGTGTCCCATGGAACAGGATGACGTTTGAGGACTGGTGTAAGAATTTCACAGATGTGGACATCTGCCGGATTGTGAATACCTCCTACTTCAGCATCCACAAGACCTGGGAGAAGAAAATGATGCATGGGGCTTGGACAAAAAATTCAGAGCCCCTGCTAAATCGCTCTGGTGGCTGCTTTGATAACAGAGAGACCTTCCTTCAGAATCCCCAGGTGGGAACCCCTGTATTTTGTGAGGCACTGAAGTGTGTCCGCTTGAGCTGGGGCTTCTGAAGTATCCACCCTATTTAGGAGTTGGCAATGAGTACTTGGCAAAAAACCTGATTGCCAGTGTCTGTCCCCTGGGAGTGTGCTGTGCTTCAGTGATTTCTGTGAAATCTCTCAGTAGTTGAGATATTTGTTTGGGACTGATCATGTTTGGGGCTGATGAGTCAAACACACCAGGATTACTGACGTCCTTCCTGGACTTCTTTTAGTTTACCAGTTGTAGAAAGGCAACAAGTCTGATTTTCCAATGACAGAGCTTCATTCATTTAACACCCTTAAACAGCCTGAGGATTTGATCCACTGTATTTAGTTAGTATTCCTTGGCATTAATCTAAGATTCTGAAAGTATCTGGTCTCTTACCCCAGCTCACCCTCTCATCAGCATTTCAGAATTTTCCTTGTCTCATCCTACCTGGTAATTTCAAGCTATTCAGTTTATCCATTCATCCATTCCAACTCCATTTGTCGTCTTCCTGCCCTTCTCCATGTGGTATGTTTTCATCCCAGCACATGCAAATTCAGGCATAAAACTCCATTACTGTCAATGAGAGCTGAGCACTTACTGTGTTAGTTATTACTTTGAAAATTGCCCTTTCTCTCTAGATTAATTAAAGATGTTTTTGTATCTGCTTCTCTGCACTTTCAAGGGAGGTTTCTGCCTGCACCCCTCTGTTTTCATAGCAGGATACTGGGCAGTGCAGCCTCTGCTGTTCAGATCAGGAGTGAATCTCAGACTCCCAGCTCATCCTGCCATGTAGGTGTAGATGCAGAAGCAGTTCTTCACTGCTCTGTCTTCTGTCAGCGCCTCATTCCCAGAGGTGTTCCCCTGTATGATTCTGGATGTATTCCAAGTGCTTGTCTGAGTCTCATTTGTAAGTGTTTAGCTGCCACAGAAAACACATTACAGTTCAGTGCGTGCCTGATGCAATGGAAGTGCTTTTTATTCCATTGTTATCTCTGGGCTAGTTGATTAAAAGGCTCTTTATAGCAATGCTGGAACACAATTGTATTATCTGCCATTATAAATTACTGTGGCACACACCACCATAATCTAGAGACAATTCCTGTCCGTCCTCCCTGAGTGAAACGCCTGACACTGAGGCCTTCTGTAGAGTTTACCTGTACAGAGAGGGATTGTGACACTTCCAGTCCCTTTTGATAAGGGAATTTAAGCCAAATATAAGTGTATTCCTACAGGCACCTGCTGGCTTTTAGATCGTTACCCATTAAGACAGCTGAAATGTCCTCAGAAGTAAGATCACAGTTGCAGAGCTCTCATCAGACCAAGAGAGCTCTCTTGGTTCCTCTTGTTTCCCTCCTGTACCTCCATTTGCCCTGGAACACTCTGATCAGGTAACATTGCATATGGTTCAACAGAGACATGAATTAAAATGTGCCTTACTAGGTGTTGCAGCATATTCCCCCTTGTCCTATCACTAGGATTACATTTTCAGTGTCTTTGATACTTTTGGTTTAAAGATCCTCACTATTAGCATTACTTTTCAGCTGGGAATTGCTGGGAATACCTGTTATATGAAGAACTCTCCTCCCATCCCCAAATACATTTCTATTTGCCTCACTGGATGCACATATTTCCTTGGTGATGGCTTTATCCTCAGTATCCTGGGGCATTTTTAACAGCTCACTCTCTTCTCTCTTCTCTTAGTACATCTTTGATGTCAAGAAGACTGAGGACAAAGTGTTGGTCTCGTTACAACAGGAGGATCGCCGCAAATACAAGAAAGAAGGGAGAGGAGACAGCATCCCAATTGGCTTTGAAATATTCAAGGTAGGCAGCCACCTGCACTCCTGGTGCAGAGTTTGTTCAGTCCTGCTTCACCCTGGCCATGAGATCTTTGGCAGATAGAGCCACGGTTCCCGTGGTGTCTGGCTCTCCACTCAACACGAGCTTCGCATGGGCACTGCACTCTGTCAGCAGAGCTGACATTACACAGACTATTGGAACTAAATTGAACTTAGTTCAGTTCAAAGTCTATTTGAACTAAAGGAACGTAAGTGATTTTTCCCTTTTGTAAAAGAATGTTAAGTGCTTTTCCTACCCCAAGCTTTCAAGAGAAAGGCAAAATAGTATTAATGTTTGAAACATGGAGGGGTGTTTTTCTTCTTCTCACCAAAGGCTTCTGCCTCCATTTCATCAGCAAATGCAGCTAAGTGAATGAGGTTGAAAAGACTGCCATTTTTCTGTTGCCACTTAGAAAAAAGAATGTTTTCAAAAGCTGGAGTAGTGAGTGGGAAATCAATATATGAGAAAAGGAACCACAGGGATCCCAAAAGGTAATTTAATTGCACTCTCAGGGCAAACTGATTAAAATGAAAATACCTGAACTTAAGAAGGAAGGAAGCAAAGAAACAGCTATTTTTCTGATTTTTTTACTGAGGATTTGGATAAATCCTATCATCTGCTGCTACAGTTAGTGGGACTATACTATGGTTCTACTGTAAAAAAATGTCAATTTTAAACAGTCAGTTAGAGCTGCTGACATCTACATCACACCTATTCATTTGAAAATCACCTGTTAACCACAGATATTGAAAAGTGTCATTACAGAAAGTGGCATAATTTACCTTGCCTTGCTCATGCCTGTATATCTAATTTGGAAAGGCTTGGAAAAGAAAATCACGCCTTCAGAAAAGTATCTATCTTTACTTCTGTTGAATAAGTTTTCTATTTCAAAAATGTTCTAACTCACCAGGCTCATTAACAAGACTAAAGGCCTTGGGAAGAGAACTGCCAGAAAAGAATGTAGGGCTGCCTTTGCCCTCAAGAGCTGCTTAAGAAATAGGTTTATATTTTAACTGTACTGTGGCAAATACCAGTCCCCTGGAGAGGATGTTAATAGTTAAGGACAGCTTCAGGGCTTAGAACAAAACATAAATGGTTATTTTGTGTTTTTTTTTTTTTTGTATTCAGAAAAGGGCAGCGAAAATACGGGTGTGTGCACCTGGATTGAGAGCCTGCTGTGAAAGGCTGGAATGTTCTTTTCATCCTAGAGAAAGGAGGCAGAGGAATCTCAGCCTGTCTGAGACACCCAAAGGTCTCCAGTGAACTTGGTGGTTGTTCTCACTGGAGTCTTGGTCTGCCAGGGAGTGGTGGGGGAGAGAAGCCTCTGAAACATGAAGTCCAGCAGGTTCCTATAGCCTCAGAAACCTTCCTGGCACTTCCCCTGTGTGTGTGGGGAGACTGTTTTTTGCACAGTAATGCCGTTTTTCAGAGGTGCTGGGTTTTGTAAAGCCATTTAGGCTTTTGGGGAGTGCTTTGGGGGCACCCCTGCTACGAGTGAGGCCTTCTCGGGGGTAGTGGTGGGTGTGTGCGCAAAGGGCCTCCTTTGACGCAGGACATAAACATCACATGCCAGAGATTCACCCCTCGGGCCTCCACAAACGTAACTTCCTGGGCTATGGCCTCCTCCCCTCAGCCTTGTTTTCAATCCCCTGGCAGGAGCCTTGCACAACTCTCTACAGTAGCAACGTTTTAAAGGCAAATAAAAGAGTCCAATTCCTCAGGGGCACTGGGGTGCCCATCCGGGCTGTCTCTGCCACAGCTTCAGTGGGTGAAAAAACATTTGCCAACCGATTTGCCTTTGTTGCACGTTGTGTTTTCCGACCGTGAAAGGCTGTGTGATGTTGATGCCAATTTGTGCCCCAAAGAAGGCGCAGAGAAACTGCTCAGAGACAGAATTTTCAGTCTATAAGCAGGAGGTATTTATTTTTATGGCCGGGGAGCAGCCAGGTCGCCCTGGACAAACTACTCCGTCGAGAAACTTACAATTGAGCTTTTTATACACTTTTTGCCAAGCAATTGCATCACATATTATGAATATTCATTACATTGCAACGTATACTTTTAATATTCATAACAGGCGGAGTTGAGGCGGAGTTAGAGGCGTGGTCTTTAATTTGGGGAGAACTTCGGTGGTCGTTCCTGTCCTACTTCATCATGAACTCAGTGTCCTTTCATCATCATCTTCATAAACTTTTGAACCTTCCCTAATTTGGGTAGTTTCCTTGTGCATTCGGCAGGGATTTTCAGTATCTGGCAAGAGTACCTGATTTCTTGGCTTGTCCCTTTTCTTATCTCCCTTTGTTTTCTTCCATATGTCCTTTTTTGTGTGTGCTAGCATTTCTAGTTCTTCCCGTTCATGCTCATGTTCCCTCATGTCAGAGTGTCCTGTATTCTAGTGAATTTATTGCCTCCACTATTTCTTAATACTAAGTTTTCTATGCCTTGCTCAAAGCCTGCATCTTGTGTTTAACTCTCTCTAATCCTCACATTGCTCTACTAAATTCACTTGCCAGGTTTTACTGGCTTCAATGTGCAGGGAGAATCCTGCCTGTTAGCACTGCTATCCCTCCTTCCATTAATCCCCATCCTGCCCTGTGGCTGTAGGTGGAGGATAACAGAAGCTATCGGCTGCACAAGCTCACTGTGCAGGAGAGAGTGGCCACGTCTCCGTACATCAACACACGCACTGTCTTCTTGAGGAGGATCCTTCAGCAAGGCCGCTACGTCCTCATCCCAACCACCTACCATCCGGGCATCACCACAAAGTTTATCCTGAGGCTCTTCACAGACGTGCCATCCAAACTCAGGTAGGCTGCACCCACAGCTACAGGAGATCTTTGCTAGCACTCACTGGCTGCACCTCCTTGGGAGTGGTTGCCTGGTTGTGCTCAAACGCCCCTGACTCACTCGTTCATATTGCTCCAGAACTAGGCCAGGGCTTGAGACAGTCAGGTCACCTCTGGGAATCTCCGGGATCACTGGGGTTTGTACATGGTCAGGACATTTTTAGTTAGGGACCTCATGGACAATTCAGTTTGGGTCTTTTGAATTTTTAGTTTGGCTTTTGCGGTGGCCTCAGTTGCAGGTCAGAACGCCGAGCACTGGTGTTCATGTTTACAGCTGATATTGTTTGTTTCTGGGACCATCTCCTTTGAAACCAGTGGTCGCTGTGAGGGTAAAACCAGTGTTTCATGAAACCAGGCCCACTGAATTTTTTTCTTGCTATGATACTATCTTCAAATATTTAAAGGGGTTTTTTCACCCCATTTGCTGCCACATCTTATAGAAACTTCAGAGAAATGAAGTAAGGAGAATGTGTAAATAGAACCCCCATGCAGTCAAACGCACACTGCTGACATTTGTGCTACACAATACAATCAAGCTGTGCAAAGATAATGCGAATTTGCTTTACTTTGGTTTTCTCTATTTTTATTTCTTACATCTGTCATTTCTCCACCACAGAATTCCAAAATGGCAGATGAGGAAAAAAGTACGAATCTCATGTTCTAAAAATGCTGAATTTCCACAACAGTTGATTGTTTACTTGATGTTCTTCTGCTTCAGTTGCTTTCCCCACTATTTTTCAGGGAGCTGAAGGCAGATAAGCCTAAAATGACATGTTGGAGTCTTCTTTGTGGCTATCCACGCAGAGTCACCCAAATCAAAGTTCACTCTGCAGAGGGTTTACAGAAGCAAGACAGATCGGGCGGTAAGTGGAAAGTGAACCTGGAAGAGTGGAAGGGGCTTTCCAGTCCTCTAAAGATGATTTAAATTGATACATAAGCAGTCAGAAATTATCCAAACAACTGAGGATTTATGGGATTTTTTTTCATCATGTTGTAAAATCTACTCCAGAGGAGAGATCAGATGAATATGGGGATGCAAAACAGCAAGTGTTATGTCCTGGCACCCACTGAGTGATGACTGAATGTACTTTTCACTGGGAAAGCCACTTTCTGTCAAGTGTTGTTGTCTCTGTGGGAAGAGATGCAGAAAATGGACTCAGTTCATATTTCTTGGTAATTTTCTTGAAAAACAAGAGCCACAAACACCACAACCAAGCAAGATGAGGTTTGGCTCCCTGTTCTCAGCCAGGCAGGGTGGATGGGTGAGAGCGAAGGGGCTTTATGTGACAAGAGCAGCAGAGCAGTGCATTGGAAAGAGTCAGCATGTTCCTGCCCTGTGGTGGACATTTTCTTTTTTGAGAATGGATTTTTTTGCTTTTAAAATTCCTTAAACATTTTTCTCTAATGTTCCCTTCAGTAAAACAACCAAAGCCAATTTTCCACCCTTGGCATTGCACAGTCTTTAGCACAATTACAGAGCTGACAAGATCCAATTGGAACCAACTGCCTGTAGATGCCAAAGACCAGGCTTCAGCTCAGAGCGTTGTGAGATTTGGTGCATCAGGACACAGACCCTCAGGAATATACACACAATGTGTAATAGATATTTTAACCACACCATAGTCAAATACCTTTAGGACCCAGTACTATCACACACGGTCAGGTTGAACTGAAACATATTCTTCCACTTTGGTTTCAACAACCAGTGTTGGGCTGATGATTACCCTGACAGAACTGAAAAGGTATGTAAAGAACAGTCTGTTGGAAAGGGACCCAGATGTTTCCTGTTGAAACCTAAGCAAAATTTCTGCTTGATTATTCTATCTGCTGAAAAAGTGAATAATTGGATCAAGTGATACTATTTGGGAATTAGTATTCAATCCATCAAGTGGCTGAAGAAATATCAGTCTATCATTGTCATTTTTTCTGAAGTGTTTCCATTTCCCTGTGTGAAACACTGTACTAGTTTTAAATCTGTCAGAAACATACAGGGATGTGAACACAAAACCTAGATGAATCTTATTGTTTGACATTGAATAAAACTTCACCAAAAAAAGTTAAAATACTTTCTTTTTGTATCAACATAAAGCTTTCAAGTAAAAGCCTTTGCCTCTTTTCAGCCTGAAATTCCAAATCTCATCCATTCAGAGAGCTCTGAAGGAGAGCTGAGTTACTTCACTTCAGTGGCTTCCCCATTATCTTGAATTCTGCTGTGAAATCCCTGTTTGACTCTTTCTTTATTAGCCTTTTTTTCTCTGTAAGTGTCTCCAACTCATGAAGTACTTCACAAAACACCTTTATAGATTGTCTTGGAGAATGCCACATCTTGTAGCAACTTCAGAGAAATGAAATAGGGAGAATGTGTAAATAGAACCCCCATGCAGTCAAATGCACACTGCTGACATTTGTGCTAGACAATAAAAGCAAGCTGTGCAAAGATCAGGGTAATGTCCATACCTGGCACACTGCCTTCTAAGGGCACCTTGCTGGGAAACTTGGCAAAGCTTCTGATTGATACTAAAGTCCATTTTTGGTAGCAGAAAAAGCTGGGTATGGTAATGTTTCTCACTTTGTTTAATAGATTAAAAGATTGGATATAGAAATTTCTTGAAACATACTGATTGTAAACTTAGACTAGAAATTAATGTGTCCAGGGACAGGAAATATCCCACATTCCAAGACTGCTTCCTGGTATTGCCACAGAAGAATGGAACTCCTGGTCATCCCTAATCTCCTCTCTGACTTCTTTGGATCCACATCTGAACCCTCTTCCATGCTTACTTTAAGAAGAAACAGCAGCCAGGAATTTGGAAAAGTCACATGGGCAGTTACTAAAATACTGGCCTTACCTGCTGGTCTTGGAGCATTTCCTGATGGGAACTAGATTTAAAAATCAACAGCAGCTCCCTGTCTAGCTAGCACTGTGAGATGAGGGAAGAGACCACACAGCAATTGCCACTGGGAGTGACAAGGAGAGGTTTGCTTTCAGATTAGGCCCAGTCAATATGTTTATTCAAGCAGAAAACAGGTAGATGAAGTGGCTGTGTTTGCCTGCTGCTAAGAGGACCTCACACAAAGGTTACTCATTTTCTGGTACAAAGGTTGTTGGCAGCTTGTTTCTAAGAGAGCTGCTGTGTCCAATTAGTCCCACTGCATTTCACCAGGGCTTCCTGACTCCTGCGCCTTCTGATCGGCAGCATCTCAGCTCTCCAGCTGCCTCTTTCCTTGTGCTCAGTCTCTGTCACCTGTCAGCCGTGTTCTGCCTTGGCCAGCCACCTGCCTGGTTTGTCACTGTCATCCCTTAGCACAGAGAGAAGACAAACCCTGATGATAAAGGAGGAGAGATAAAGGAGAGCTTCATTCTGGAGCTTCTGAGAACTGAGACTGGCATTCCATCTGAATAGGGCAAAGTGCCCTGAAAACTTCAGGATGTCTCTAAATATTGGGGTATGCAGATGCAGAAAGAGTAGCCTGAACAGAGAATCAAGGATTTGAGACTTGAGTGCACTGTTCTTCACGTAAGCCCATCACTGTCATCTGAGAGTTGTGCCTAGCACAAATTTCTAAATAGCTACATAAACAAAGCTGGAAGAGAATGAGAATTGCACAGCCAGTGCTGGTTCATAAGCTGTTTGTCATCAGAGCCCTCTTGCTGGCCAGAGGAAGGTTATTTAATCTTTTATTTTAAATGTATATTGGAAAACTCCTCCTTGGTGCTGTCATTGATCCATTGCCCTGTCCAGAAAAAATAATGGATGGTTTGCTGTTGTAAAGAATAGTGGATGGATCTAACTGCCCCGACTCAATCCTTAATGCACACAGGCTGCTCCTCATGGAGGTACCTCTCCAAGTTAGCTTGTTCTGAAGTGGATCTAGCTGTTTATGAGCCACATAGTGGCAGATCTGCAGGATGATAAGGAAATTCTGGGTGCTTGGAGGTTTTCTGTCTCATTTCCAAGCCTGTTTTAAAAATTGCTGTCGCTACTGTCTGTCACACCTTTTTCCCAAGAGTTTCTCTTGGAGAAACCTTTTGCATTTTAAGTCTCCTTGCTGAAATTCTGTGTTGAATTTTCATGTTTAATTGTCTTTCACTACTTCTGTTCCAAACTGAGTGTTGCGATCCTCAGACAGGCCTGTGACTGACCTGCTAAGCAGAGAATATGGTACCTTTTGTTGAAGCTGCCTTTGGAGCAGTCTGAGAAGTAGAAGGAAGGAGAAGCAAAGACTCACCTGCAAGAGACAAAACAACCCAGGGCAGTGCTTGTGTCTCAGAACTGTCTACTCTGTTTGTTCAATGTCCTTTCCAGTGACTGTGTCAGAGCTCTCTGTGTACCAGTAAGAGCAATTCAGCTGGAGAGGAGTGGGAATGCCTCTGGAAACTTTTTCTCAAGAATGTTTTCTAGAAAGCTTTTTGTTTTGGTACAGTGCAGAAGAATGTGGATGTTAGATCCTCACTGCAATTCTCAAGAACTCAAGTAGCCTTAGACTACTGATCATGGATTTCTTTAAGCTTTAGAGATGTCACTGTTGTTCAGGTGTTTCTGGCTTTTACAAATTCCAGCTTTTTCCTTCACACTTTTCTTTTGTACAACTTCCCAAAGCAGCAGTATGGCCAGGACTGAGGTGAGAGAGCTGTTACACACAATGTAGTGTTCAGGGCATAGCCATATGTGTGCCTGAGAACTGAACCCAGCCCTCCTTCCACTGCCAGGGCAGTTGCCAGAGTAGCAGCTCCAGTTGTTTTCATTCCCAGCTCATGACTAACACTAGGATGTTGCTTTTCCATGTGAGCAGCCCTTTCTGCTTTATCTCTGTCCTGTAAATAAATCAACCATAGCAGAGAACATCCCTTGTCTCATCCCCCATACGCCTCTCTTCCATTTCTTCCGTTTGTTCTGGAACTGGAATCAGTAATCCTAATATAACTGACCATTCAGCCCTGCCATCGTGGGGTCATGCTGTGCAGGAACCTTTTGTGTTCTTCTTCTGCCTCCCTCCATTTCTTGAGCTCTTGCTGAGAATTTGAATGTTTTTTCAAATAATATCTTTTCCTTTCACTTACCTGCTCCCTCATCCATTCAGCAGATACACCTGTCACCTCTTTATGCTCTGTGTCCTTTCCCCAACCCTCCTTATGCCCTTTATCTCTTAATTACTCTTAATGGTCAGATGTTGCTCTGCTCTTTGCCCTCAGACAAAGCAGTTGACACCATTGGGGTGACATGCAAGACCCAATTTTATTCAGACCCATTTTCCCAACTGCTTAGCAAAGAGGGCAGCTTTTCCATCCCTGATCCCACTGCGTGGTGCCACCCCATGCCCCAGAGCTAAATTCACACGTTCAGTGACACAGAAAGTACTTGCCTATCAGAGAAGCCAATACTCTGTCACCTGCTACAGAACTGTGAGGTGTTGTCAGCATAATGGGCCTGGGGCAGGTCTGGCCAGGTGTCTTGTACAGGGAAGTGACTCCCTCTGGTTTGGATGCAGCTGCTTTGTGGTTTGTTTGTGTGAGGTGTTGGTATTTGTTCTTGTAAATGAGTGATGTGTTTGAGGAAAATCATCCTGGGTATGGATTGTTAAAAAACTAAAGCTGCCTTAGTGCTGTCACTCCAGTGGTGGCATTTGCAAGTAGATGGTGACAAAATGTGTGTAAGAAATGTGTAAGAAACTATTGTGAGCCTGACTTACTCTTACACACACTCAGTGGTTTTATTTAAAATCTGTATATAAGAAGTAGCAACGTATGTAAAAACAGGTATGCTGTTGTTAACAACAGGAATGGACAGGAGATAGTTGTGTTGAAATACAAAAAATGGTATTGCCTGTGTTTAATTAGAAGTTAACTAAAGAGTGGAATGGCCCATTCTATTTGAGCATAAAGATAGGCATTTCCAAATTGGTTCTTGCTCTTTATTGGAAGGGAAAGAAAATATCAACATTAATAATAAATAAAAATGCTCAGTGTAAAAACAACAAAGCATTTCTAGAAGGTTAAAGAATCTCAGTGGGTCAGGTGGGATTTAAGTGTAGTTTAAAATATTAACTGGGACCTATCATAGTTGTGGTAACATAAACTTTAGAATTACATCAATCCAAATGATAGAACTGAATAGATTGTCTCAGGTTTATGGGAATGAAATGACAAACTGGGGAGGATTTGCTTTGACAGTTTTCCACATAAAACTTTCTTGAAACCAGTGCACTTGTAGAAAATGTGTTTGTATTTTGACAACATTTTGCTTTCTCGAAGAGAAACTGCTTCTTGAAAACTACCTCCTAACACTAACGCTCATATCTGAGTACAAGAGACAGCACTTTCTTTCTAGCTTGGCAGTCTAAGGGTGGCCACTGACGTGTGCATTCAGGGACCTAAAAGCATTTCTGTGCAGTTCCTGTCCTCGCCCTACACAGGAATTGTGGAAGATGAACAGATTTTACCTTTCATTTTGGCCAAGGCACCCAGAACTTCATATCAAATGTCATGTGCACAGATGCATTTTGGCTGTCACATCTTAGAGCAGTGTCGGGAAGCTCAGAGACTCAGACTTTGAAAACTTCCTGTTAGACGAGCCAGGAGAATGCACAGCAAGGGAATGTGGGAAGATCATGATCCCTGTCTAGGAGTGAGCTTGTTTCACAGCAAATGGGGCCTGGTTTCCAGCTCTGAGCACCCAGTTACTGCTAGAATGAAAGAGTTGGAGTTGTTCATTCTGGAGAAGAGAAGGCTCCAGGGAGACCTTAGAGCCCCTTCCAGTACTCAAAGGGACTCCAAGAGAGTTGGAGAGGGACTTTGGACAACAGTTTGGAGTGACAGGACAAGAGGGAATGGCTTCCCACTGACAGAGGGCAGGGTTAGATGGGATATTGGGAAGAAATTCTTCCCTGTGAGGGGGGTGGAGCCCTCGCACAGGTTGCCCAGAGAAACTGTGGCTTCCCCATCCCTGGAAGTGTCCAGGGCCAGGTTGGATGGGGCTTGGAGCAACCGAGTCTAGTGGAAGGTGTTCCCGCCCATGGCAGGGGCATGAAACTGAAACTAGATGGTCTTCAAGGTCCCTTGCAACCCAAACCATTCCATGATTCTGTGTTTTCACCTGGGCAGGTAGCGGTGGCTGTAGCGTGCTCTGGTTCCCTGTTCCTGTGCTCAGTAGCAGCAGTGCTGTGAGGCACAGGAGGGAATTCTCTTCTGGATTTCTGGGCAGGTCTCAACTGCCATTCTTTGTCCTAAGAGCTGTGCTGCTGTTTGTGTTTTAGGAGCAGATCCCTATGTGCTTGTCAAGTGTGAGAACCAAAATGTGCGCTCCCCTGTGCAGCACGACACAACCAGTCCCGTCTTCAACACACAAGTGATTTTTTACAAGAAGAACATTGACAGTCCTATCACAATCCAGGTGAGACAAACCACACAGGACAGGCCGCTGAGGGCAGGAAGGGGAGCACAGCAGCATCACTGGGCTTCACCTGTGCCAGCTCTTCCTTTGTATGACTGATACCCAGGAGAGAAGTGTGAGAATCTCTGCTTCCCTCAGTGAGTTATGCCTGGAGTTGTTCTGCTGATTCTCCAGTCTAAGTCTGCTCCATAAACACCAGCTGATGGCACTTAGGAATCTGAAGGCATATTTCATTCCAAGGCTTTGAAAGAATTTTTGGAATTACCTTTTGCCTTATATGGTACCCAATGAAACAGAGACAAAGAAAAGCCATGTGTTGTCCAGAGTCAGCATTTGAAGCAAAACCAAAGGCAAGCTGTGACCTAGAAAGCAAAAAACTGCATTCATTCCTTATTTGCATAGAGTATGTAAATGAGCATGCAAATCCAGATTCTCCCACATGCTCTCTAGACAATTAGCTAAATTTAGATGTACGCCCACTCCTCACTGCTTTTTCAGGGGGCTAATGGGGGTGACCGTCCTCGAGCACTGCCCTTGCAGGTGGAATGTGAGAGCAGCAACACTTCAGCTGGGTTCTTTTCTGTTCCCTTGTCTCTAGGTCTGGAACAGCAACATCCTGTGTGACCAGCTCCTGGGGCAGGCAGTGCTGGCAGCTTCCCCCAGTGACCCCCGAGAGCAGCAGACGCTGCAGCTCCGAGGGAGAGGCGGCCAGGAAGCAGCCGAGGTGCCGGGTCACATCACCATCAAGGTTTTCTCCAGCGATGACCTCGCGGAGCTCTGAGCGCCGGAGCCCCGCAGAGCCAGACAGAGCTGTCACCTCGCAGCAGCGGGACTCGTCTGTGCCTGCCGGGGCGGGGACTCGGGAGCACAGGGTGCACATCATCATAATCGCTTTAAAAAGACAAAGCCCTCAAAACTCTCCGTGTTATCACTGATAATGGGGAGAGAGGCTTTGAAAGAGGGGAAAACACGTATTTATACATATATATGTTCATGATACAGCACATACAGTAGAAGAAGGGCCAGACAAAATGCTAGCAGATAAGCTCATTAAGATGTGACCATCTTCCAAGCAGCATCTCTCAGGAGCTCTCAGCACATAAACTGGAAGCCCATGTGTCTGTCCTCACAGTTCCCAGCACATCCTCATCTATTCCCAGCAGTAGGATTGGATGCAGGCAGGAATGGCTCCAGTTCCATGGGCACCTACCAGCAGATTGGGGGAGTGGCAAGCACAAGGTGGATTTGCATCACTCAGTCCTTGTTCACTGCCAGCCTGGATCTGGGAGGGTGATTTTTTCCCCCATAGAGGGATATAAATCTCTCGATGCATTTCAGTGTTATTGCTACAGATCAGATGTTTCTGTTTCGTGATGAACTCAAGGAGTTCAGTCATAGCTCTTGGCCTTAGACCCTGTGAGCCAGGGCAATTAAAACAGAGGGACAGGTCTTGCAGTGGCTGCTTGAACATCACGGCAAATAATAGCTATGTCCACATACAGGCTCTCAGATCAACTTTCTGACTCTTCTCCACCTCGAGCTGATGACTCACAAGTTGGTATCTCTGTCCAAGAGCAGGAAAGGCACCTCACAGTTCAGCTGTGGTTTTGCTCAGAGCACAAATTCACTAATGGGAGCCTCCTAGCTAAGGAAGCTTTGTTTAATCCACATGATGCTAAACATGGAATAACACTCCTTTTCTCTTGTTAGATGGGTAGCACCAGACTGAAAAAAAAGCAAATTAGCTCATGACAAGGACGGGTTTGTAAAACCAAGGTCTTGTGCCCTGGCAGGTGTCAGGTTTCACTCTCAAAATTTTGCTTTGATTTATTGCTGACAAATCCAACATCTTTGATAAAGTTTCACTTGGCTGTCATGGAGAACAGGTATTGTTTCACATTTCCTTCAAAGCAGGGTTCTGGTACAAACTTTCTCTTACGTTCTGCCTGCAGCCTTGTGGCAGGGTTCCCTCACAGCTCTTTGTGTGTGGGCACGCTGGGCAGTGACCTTGGCAGTGCAAGAGGCTCGCTGTGTCAGACACTTGGAAGTGGATTTTATACAGCTGCAAATTCTTGTCTGTAAAGAGAAGCTGAAGGATGACTGTTCTGCCTTTTGTACAGCCAGGAAATTTGGATTTCTGTGTATCTCATAACTACTCCGGCCACATTGTGCAACTTTTATAATTTATAAAATGGCTCCTGATAGCGTTAATGTTTTCAGAAAAAGCTTTTAAGTCTCTTTGGGGCTCCAAAAGGATCGCTGCTGTGGTAGGAAAATGCTCTGACAAGTTGGAGATGGAATGTAAGGCTATGAACAATGCTACAGTGCCATCAGCTCAGCTGCATGTACCAAGTACCTAAATCCTGCTCTTTTCAAATAGCTTGGGTTCAGGCCATTTAGCACACAGAGTGTTTGTCAGCTGTGTGAACTACATGCCCCACAGGCAAGTGAAATTCTCTGTACGCTCATGGCTTCAGGGTTGCTTATCCTCTGAAATTTCAGTCTCTGTGTAAGGGTTGTCCCCAGCACCAGCAAGGCAGAGGGAGCATGACCCGCAATTCCTGGTTGTGCACAGCCGACAAAGAGGGAAGTTTGGGTGATGAGTATGAAAGTGGTGGCTTTTAGGCCTTGGAATTCTGTCAGCTCCAAATATTTCTAGTTTGTCCCCATGGCATAGGGACAGGCAACCTTTGAACTCCAGTACTGCCTGGAGGGAATGGCAGTGCTGGGAGCTGCGGGAGGCTGAGGCCAAGCAGAATGTCTGTACATCTGCATTTATTATTTCTTGGAAGTAGTTGGAACAGACAGGGTTTGCCCATCAGAAGGAGCTGAGTTCCCAAGCTGGGAACACAACTGGCTGTGCTGATTTACAAGGCTTCTGGCTTCCCCAGTGAATCCCAGGTGAAGCCAGGCTGCCTGTTCCCCGCATGATAGCCAAGGCTGGGCAGGGACGATGCCCCCTCGCTGTGGGCTCCAGCTCCTAACAGAGCTGGGCAGTATTTTTTAACAACTTGTGGGAAAAACAGGGTTTTTTGGAGGGTGCTGCATTTATGTACATACTCAGGTCACCTTCAGCAGAGAGTCCCTCGGAAATGAAAACGGGGGAAATGGGTGGGAAATGTTTCATTTCGGCCTTTCATAACTTCAGTGTGAAGTGACCGAAGCAAAAGGTTTACAAACACATATTCAGGGACTCCTGCCTCCGCCTGCCCCGCTGGCAGCCGCGAGAGGGCGATCTGTATCCATTCACCCACCCATCCTTCCATCCGTCCAGGTAAAACCATGGCCAGGTACCGACGCAACACACACACCGATAAATACAGGGTATCGTTTACAGAAGAGATCATACATTATCCTATACACGATATTATACCTCTCTCTACAGTGTGTAGCACCTATAGAAGGGCCTTCGAATGTCTATAAAAATACATATTTATATACATATACTACAGATACACACAATATATATTTACACAAACGCTATATATATACAGAACATATATACACACTATATACACAGTCTCTCTATATACAAACACATATATAAATTATCTATATATAAGGGAGCATTATATAAGGGGCTACAGTGAAGAAGAGTTATGGGGTGTTGTGCAAATGCCCTATAGAGTACAGAGTACAGCTCTGTCCATAGCACTGTAACACCCTATCTATATATAATAATAATTATGCAGTACATTGTGTGTCTATATATTTTATAAATTTGCACACCCCCCATATAACGCTCCCACATTTAGTAATCTCTATGTATTATATACATCTGTTTTGTAATCTCTATATATTTAAATGTCTTTTATGTCACTATGTTCTGCCATGTGGAGGGAGGACAGGGAATCCTCCATATCCTGTCTGCCTGTGGGCCTCTCCCAGGGAAGGCTGTCACCCTCTGTGTCAGCCTCAGTTCCCAGGGCAGAACTGGGATGCCTAAAGGACACTCACCTGAGCACAAGCCTGTGGAACAGCCCAGCTCCCTCCCCCTCTGTCCAGAGTGGCACAGACACTCCCGACCTTTCCCAGGAGCTACGAGGCAACCAAGAGGTCAGGAGGCATCGCCAGAAACGACTCCATCACTCTGCTCTCTTTTGCCCTTCTCGAGTCCTGCGCAGACCCAAGGTGGCAAATCCCATCAGTCCGTGCATTTCCATGCCTGGCCACGATTCCCCTCTGGAGCAGCCCACACCCAGTTTGTCTCCGAGTCTGGAAGATTAGTCTGGTCCCAGAAAGATGCAAGCACCCCGGGCTGGGCTTCTTCCAGCCTGGCTCTGCGCATGCTGAGGCTGCTCTGTGCTCTGCCCGGGCTCTGCAGGGGCTCAGCCCCTCACACTGCTGCTCTGAAAGCCTCGCATCAGACGTGCCCTTTCGGAGCACACGGGCTGACCTTCTGCTTTTTCAGCTGAGGAAGACTCATCCAGGCATAGAGATTGCAAGTGGTCATACAAACCCAACTGTCAAGAACTCAAACACTCTACGGTCCCAGTTGAATACCTGTACCCAGCGGGGTGATTTGTCTGCCCCACTCTCCATCTGGTTGTGGCTGGACTTGCAATTGCACTTTCTTCCTCATATAGAAGTACCACGACTGGGCAAACGCAGGCCAGTGGGATATATTCCAAAGGCAATGTGGTCTGGAGCCGATGAATGAAAGAAGCCCTTCCCCAATTCCAAACCATACCAAAACCCCCATCAATGGGACTTCCCAGCTATGAATAACAACAAAAGTTTATTTACAAATGAAGTGGCTGCAAAGATCAGAGTAGATATTGGCTATTTTCCTAGTCCTTGTCTACTCTGTGCCTCCTTTGCCAGTGGAGGCATTTCCATGTCGGGAAAGGGGACTTCTTCAGGTTGTGGTGCTGCAGCAGTGCCAGGATTTTTGAACTGTGCAGAGGGGCAGGTATCCCCAAGGGACAGTTTCTTCTGTCTCCTGTCTCCTGCAAGGGACCCTGACTCGACTTGGTAGTTCAAAACCCCTTTTCCAGGTGTCAGTGGCTGGGCTGAAACACCATGTCATGGCACGGCTACAGCCCTCACAACCTTCAGTCCCAAAGAGTGAGTGCTGTCTTCTCAGGAACTTGCAGCTTCCTTCTCTACTTGCTCTTCTTTCCCCTCTTGTCCAGAAAGAGAGGGAGCCAGCAGAGGTTCTGGTGCCGCTGTTCTGGGTCTCCTGACTGCATCAATCAGAGGAGCCATCTCAACAAGACTCTTGGATTTTCCTAAAAACGGATGCTGCACCAAAAACCAAAGAAGAACAAAAGGAGCCATTACTTTCCAAATGCAGTTTCTCACAGGCTCCAGTGGGATTCCTCTGGTTACCAGCAATACACATCAGGAGGATGTAGGGAACTATCTAGACCTCCAACTTTCCTCTGAGGAAAGGCCAAGAGGGATGCCACTGGAGAAGAGAAGGTGCCAGGGAGAGCTTATTGTGGCCTTTCAATCCTTCAAGGGGACACATGTTTTCAAAGGGCCCGGTTGCAATGGGACAAAGGGTCATGGTTTTCAAGTGGAAGAGGATAGATTCTGGTTACATCTAAGGAAGTCATTGTTTAGAATGAGGGTGCTGAAACACTGGCACAGGAAGTGGATACCCCACCCCTGGTCAGGTGGGACAGGGCTCTGAGCAACCCGGTCTAGCTGAAGATGTCCCTGCTCGTTGCAGGGGGGTTGGACTAGATGCCACTTAAAGGACCCTTCTAAGCCAAATTATTCTGTGATGCTACTTAGTTGTTTAGCTGATGACAAAGTCCATCCCTGGACAGCTGTTTCACCTGCAGCCACTTTACCTTCAGCAGCTTCCTGGCCGTCCATCGACGCTTCACATTCTGGTTCAGGCAGGACTGCAGGAAGGAACGGAACACAGGAGACAGGTTTCTGGGAGTCTCCAGCTCGGGTGGCACGTCCTTAGGCTTGGGACAAAGGAAACACAAGACAGCCATTAACCATCCTTCCCCGAGGGAAAAGCTCCAGCACAGGCCAGTCCTTGTTTTCTGAGAGTTGACCTGGGGCTTTTCCAGGAGCCCTGATCAACATTTGAGCTTAAGGAAGCAGAGAATTTTCAGCATCCAGACCAGTCCTGCTAATTGCCTTCATCTCTTTTTGCTGCCTTCTGCAAGGCAAATGCAATCCAGAAGAAGTCTTCCAAGAAAAGTCAGGGACCTTTTTCAGAAGGACTGGAAGACTGACATTTTCCGTAATTGTTGCCTTCCTCAGGAATTAACTGTGCAGCATTTAACTTGGTTTCAGCTGTTAGTCATGGGGTTTTATCCCGGTATGCCTTCCTGGCCTATTGCACACTCCTTTGGTGTAAGAACGGGTCATTTCATTTTAGGGAATTAGCATCTACAACTGCAAACTTGAAAATACATTGGCTTACTCCAAGGAGCTGTGCTAGAACCTACTTTTAGAAATGTACTGGCTAATACATACTTGTGGCAGTACTAGAAGCAGTGACCTGCCCTGAAAGGCTCAGGTAAGCAGTGGGCACTGGTCCAAGTTTGAAAAGACTTCTGGCCTGCAGATCCCCTTGAAATGCTTTTCACAGTAATTCTCCAAGGGGAGAATCCTGCTGCTGAAAAATTCCTGCCGTTGGGAGATCCAGCTCCAAGAGAGTTCAAAGAGCACAGGAGGAATTCAAGCATTGTTGGAGGCCCAAACGGCCCATTTCTGCACTGGCACATGTCGCTTCTCCTGTGAGCAGATGTGCTCCAGGACACTTTTAGACGTGGGCCTTGGTGGCACTAGTTCAAGCTGATGTCCGTGGGAGAAAGATATGGCTCAGGGGAGAAAGGCAGGGCTCTCTGACAGTATTTGCACCTTACCTGTGTAGGACCATCCACCATTTCTAGTGCCATGATCCCAAGGGCCCAGATGTCCACTTTGGCATCATATCTGTCTCTTCTCAACAATTCTGATGCCATATAGAAAGGAGTTGCAAAAAATGACCTCCATGTCTTCTGCCGGGGCTGAAGCCAAGTACATAAGCCAAAATCAACTGCAGAAAAAAGAAATAGCGTTAAAACCAGCTTGAATTATGAAAGCAAGCACAAGAATGCCCCACTCCTGGTCTGAGAGCACAGTGTTGAATCTAGCTGGAAGAGTGGCTGTGCTCTGTTTCCTCTGGAAGGGACATACCCAAACCAAAGGCACTCTTGACAGCCTCATCCTCTCTAGAGCTCTCTGCACATTGCAACTCTGCTCTCAGCTTACAGCAGTGGGCTGGGTGCTCCCACCAGCACCACTTTTGGGGAACTGGCAGGCACTCAAAGGCAACCCCAGACCCTGCCTCCCAGGAACGCTGTGCCTGACCAAGAACACCTACTCAATTTCACAGATCCATCCACTCCAAGAAGAATATTGTCACTTTTGATGTCTCTGTGGATCACTCGATTTGAATGAAGGAAGTCCAGGGCTTTCAGGCACTGAGATTAAACACAGAAACACAAGGGGAAAAATTAATTAGGCTGATTTTATCACACAAAAAAGGAAATGGCTCTAAAACATCAAATTTCCAGGTGACACATCAATTGCAGACATAGTTCAAGTGGCAAAGATAAGAATAATATATGATTTAAATTGAAATTAAACTAGAAAGGAAAGTACAACAACATTATAGGAGTATAATAACAGAGTACAAGAAATGCAGTGAGACTGGCAGGCCGTTCACTTGGATGCTCTTTTCTTCTCCACATCATAACAGCAATGCAGAAACAAAGCTCTGAACGGGAAATCACTCCTGTTCTTACCACCTTTTGCAAAGAACCATCCTGTCCAAGCTGTCAGAAGCAAGAGCAGCATCCCTTACCTCCCGACTGATAGAGGCTATCATCTCTTCCTCAAGAGCTTGTATGGAAATGACATCGCCTAAGGTGCATCCCTCCACATATTCTGTCACCAGCCAGAGTTCTTCATTGAAAAGGTAGCTGAAAGAAGAAACCCACAGCATGGAGATGAATGGGTCCAGCTAAATGACCTTATGGGAAAGACTGCAGTTGAGTTTTCTTGCCAGGTCACTTGTAAATGAAGAGAGAATCTGAGCAGGCTAAATGAGAAAGGCTCATCTGTGAAAAAGGAGATGTCCTAGATGGCAAGCAAGGCAAAAATGCAGTTTAGTGACAGCAGAGAGAAATGTGGAACCAGGACATTGCCATCAGCTGCTTCATCATCTTAATTCATCCCTTCCAGCCTGAACTCCAGGAAGCAGGCAACACAGACTTCTCCACGGGAGGAGGGTGTGCACCACTGAGGGCAGATGTTGGTCAAGCCCTTGGAAAGCATTGCATAAAGTGCATTCAGAAACAGGGAAAACCATTTAAAACCTGGCACATTGTGTGGTTGTGCAAACAAGAGCCTAGTCTTCCTGGCATCCACAGCAACAGAAAGTAGAGGGAAAACCCCAAGGTCAGTAATTTCTAGGTGGGTTTATCAGCACGTATCATTAAGGCACAGAAAAGATGATCAGTTTGAAAAAAACCAGACCCCAAAAGAACAGGGAGGTAGTGAACTGAAGGGCTGTGGCTTTAGGAAGACATGGCAGATGCAGGTTTTGGAAGACACGCTTCAAACTACCTATACCAGAAAAGGCCAAGGCAGACACAAGGCAAGCTCCTCCCTGAAGGAGCTAAGAGACCTGTGCCCTGCACCTCCCATCCACTGCAGGTGGAGGAGTTGAGAAATAATGAAGAGCTCCATGTTCTTCCAGTGACCAAAGTGGCTTTTTAGCCTTTGGCTTGCAGTGTGTCAATGAACCTCGACGTGATAATCCCAGAACCACTCACCTGTCTATATAATGAATGATACTGGGGTGCCTCATGCTACTCAGGACCACAACCTCTGTTACAACAAGCGCCCTTTTGTTCTTTCTGTCGCGGAGAAAAATCTTCTTGATGGCCACCTAAAAGGAGATTGAAAGCCACAGACTTGAGAAGTCTGTTGCACGGGACCACAACGCACATGGAGCAGGTGTTTTTGGAATGATGGAGCCAGGGTGGGCCAAACTGCCTGGGATTAGACACCAGAGCTTCTTAACTGACAGGACAAGAGACGATTCCTCCACTCGCCCTTGTGTGCCAGTTACAGGACACATGGCTATAGACATTTTGCCTTGTAAACTCTGGACAAATGGTCTGCAAACAATCAATCCATAATGGAGGAAATCCCATCCTAAAAGGTCATGAGAGTTACACAAAAAAATACAATCCCAGAACTTTCTAACATCTTGAAGTTGGATTTTGCAACTCTAAAGAACGTTTTTAACCCAGTTCCTATTTGCAGTTCTTTTCTGGGTTTGAAAAGGAATAACCCATTCTAGGGTGTTTTATGGATGTGGCCGGGGTTATGAGCAGCGCTCAGGGCCTTTAGATCCCTTGCAGACTCCTGTGTAAGTGCACTTCCCAAGTGCAGCACTGCAGCTGGGTAAGGAGCCACCAAGTAGCTGATGCATTAGCATAGTCAGTAAATAAGTCTGAGCAAAGGAGTCCTTCTCTGAAAGATACCCCTGCCCTCCTTGTGTTCTTTTGGGGACTTAGTAAGGACAAGGTCTGTCCAAACCGTGTGTTGCAGGCTGACGCTTGTCTGCCCTCAGAGGAACAGTCTCTGCAGCAAAGATCTCGTGGCCACCCAGAGCTGTGGCCACAGCTCCCAGCAGAGGGGAAAGCACTCGAGAGCTGCACAATCTGCTGGGGGTGCTGGCCCTTACCTGTCCTCCTGTGGCAATGTCAACTCCTCGGAAAACTGTTCCAAAAGTCCTAGAAACAGAACAGCAGCCAAGAAAGGAGAAGGCGTTTAGGCCCTGGGTGAGAAAGCCAGCCCAGAGAGCAGAGCTCTGCTGCCCAGAGTGTTTATAAAACACTCGGCTTCAGCCAGCAGCCCAGCAGCCCAGCAGCCCTCTGCCATGCAGGGTGGCCAGGAGAAAACATAGGACATACTCCATGTCCTGCTCCTTGTTACAGGCAAGAGACTGCCAGCATTGAGTTGTCTTTGACAATGCCTTCTGACCACAGTTATTAAATACTGATCAGGACTGACAGACAGGAGGATGTAAGCCCAGTGTCTGCCCATGTTTGCAGCTTGCCCGACTGCATGCTTGATATGACACCAGCAAAATCCCTGGCCCATGGTTTTGTGGAAGTAGCTGAGATTGGACTTACCCTTGGCCAATTATCTGCTGTAAAGTGTATTTCTTCGTAGGGTTCTCCTCACTCACAATGCCCTCTGAAAGAAACAACATGAAAGATGCTCGTGTGAAACAGAGATACCACCTTGCAGCAGATCCGAAAGGCAGCCCCACTGTGCGGGGCTGTGAGCCCTTTGTAGTCAGCTGGTAACAACAATCACAAGAGCAACAGAGGCAGCTCTGAAGCACAGGTGGCTCGACAAACACTCTGTTCCTTTAGTACAGCTAAAGTTGACATGCATACCATGGACTGCTCTGCCAGAAGTGAAATACATGATACGTACTGAGATCGGCGAGGTAAATACTTGTTAGTGAGGATATCAGTTGTGGCTGGTCTGAGCTTTTTCTCCCTGTGCTGGTTTCCCCAGAGCTTTTCTTCCCAGTCCTTGTTTTCTGTGTGCATTTTTTCCCAGTGCCACTTTTGCCAGTGCTTGTGCTTGGCATTTCAGTGTCGGGCAAGGAGTCTTCTTTAGGTTGTGGTGCTGCAGCAACACCTGCCATTGCAGAACTCTTGAGGATCTGTGGCAAGAATTAGGTTATGTCAGAAAGGTGGCTTGCAGAGATGTCCTGAGATCATAGTTCAAATGCAAACCCTTGGGAAGATGCTGTTGGCCACAAGTCAGGCTCTTAAACTCTCTTTTGCTGCCCACTTTCACAAAGTGAATGGACGAGAAGAAAAGACTGGATTTACACAAGTTCATGGGCAGTTTTCTCTTCAATTTTCATGCATTTTCTCAACTAGGTCGTGCAGAGGGGCAACTACCCTCTAGGGCACAGTTATTGCTGTGTGTCCTGCAAGGGACACTCTGACTCAACTTGGAAGTTCAAAACCTCTTTTCCAGGTGTCAGTGGCTGGGCTGAAGCACCGTGTCATGGCAGGGCTAGAGCCCTCACAATCTTCAGTCCCAAAGAGCAAGCACTGGCTGCTCAGGAACTTGCAGCTCTGATTGACACCAAAAGCAGTACTAATGTACTCTGGCACTTACTGATTTCACTCCTTCAGGCTTTGCTTTGACAACTTTCTTCTCTACTTGCTCTTCTTTCCCCTCTTGTCCAGAAAGAGAGGGAGCCAGCAGAGGTTCTGGTGCCGCTGTTCTGGGTCTCCTGACTGCATCAATCAGAGGAACCATCTCAAAAAGACTCTTGGATTTTTTTAAAAACCGATGCTGCACCGAAAAACCAAAGAAGAACAAAAGGAGCCATTACTTTCCAAATGCAGTTTCTCACAGGCTCCAGTGGGATTCCTCTGGTTACCAGCAATACACATCAGGAGGATGTAGGGAACTATCTAGACCTCCATCTTTCCTCTGAGGAAAGGCCAAGACAGATGGCACTGGAGAAGAGAAGGTGCCATGGAGAGCTTATTGTGGCCTTTCAATCCTTCAAGGGGACACATGTTTTCAAAGGGCGTGGTTGCAATGGGACAAAGGGTCATGGTTTTCAAGTGGAAGAGGATAGATTCTGGTTACATTTAAGGAAGTCATTGTTTAGAATGAGGGTGCTGAAACACTGGCACAGGAAGTGGATACCCCACGCCTGGTCAGGTGGGACAGGGCTCTGAGCAACCCGGCCTAGTTGAAGATGTCCCTGCTCATTGCAGGGGGGTTGGACTAGATGCCACTTAAAGGACCCTTCCAAGCCAAACTATTCTAGGATGCTACTTAGTTGTCATTTGAAAAGCACCAAGAGTGGAGATTAGTAAGAGAGGAGGCCTCCTGATGCCTCTGAGTTTAGCTGATGACAAAGTCCATCCCTGGACAGCTGTTTCACCTGCAGCCACTTTACCTTCAGCAGCTTCCTGGCCGTCCATCGACGCTTCGCATTCTGGTTCAGGCAGGACTGCAGGAAGGAACGGAACACAGGAGACAGGTTTCTGGGAGTCTCCAGCTCGGGTGGCACGTCCTTAGGCTTGGGACAAAGGAAACACAAGACAGCCATTAACCATCCCTCCCCGAGGGGAAGAGCTCCAGCACAGGCCAGTCCTTGCTTTCTGAGACTTGACCTGGGGCTTCTCCAGGAGCCCTGATCAACATTTGAGCTTAAGGAAGCAGAGAATTTTCAGCATCCAGACCAGTCCTGCTAAGTGCCTTCAACTCTTTTTGCTGCCTTCTGCAAGGCAAATGCAATCCAAAAGAAGTCTTCCAAAAGTCAGGGACCTTTTTCAGAAGGACTGGAAGACTGACATTTTCCGTAATTGTTGCCTTCCTCAGGAATTAACTGTGCAGCATTTAACTTGGTTTCAGCTGTTAGTCGTGGGGTTTTATCCCGGTATGCCTTCCTGGCCTATTGCACACTCCTTTGGTGTAAGAATGGGTCATTTCATTTTAGGGAATTAGCATCTACAACTGCAAACTTGAAAATACATTGGCTTACTCCAAGGAGCTGTGCTAGAACCTACTTTTAGAAATGTACTGGCTAATACATACTTGTGGCAGTACTAGAAGCAGTGACCTGCCCTGAAAGGCTCAGGTAAGCAGTGGGCACTGGTCCAAGTTTGAAAAGACTTCTGGCCTGCAGATCCCCTTGAAATGCTTTTCACAGTAATTCTCCAAGGGGAGAATCCTGCTGCTGAAAAATTCCTGCCATTGGGAGATCCAGCTCCAAGGGAGTTCAAAGAGCACAGGAGGAATTCAAGCATTGTTGGAGGCCCAAACGGCCCATTTCTGCACTGGCACATGTCGCTTCTCCTGTGAGCAGATGTGCTCCAGGACACTTTTAGACGTGGGCCTTGGTGGCACTAGTTCAAGCTGATGTCAGTGGGAGAAAGATATGGCTCAGGGGAGAAAGGCAGGGCTCTCTGACAGTATTTGCACCTTACCTGTGTAGGACCATCCACCATTTCTAGTGCCGTGATCCCAAGGGCCCAGATGTCCACTTTGGCATCATATCTGTCTCCTCTCAACATTTCTGGTGCCATATAGAAACGAGTCCCAATGAAAGACCACCGTTTCTTCTGCCAGGGCTGAAGCCAAGCACAGAAGCCAAAATCAACTGCAGACAAAAACAAGGACTGTTAAAACCGGCTTGAATTATGAAAGCAAGCACAAGAATTCCCCACTCCTGGTCTGAGAGCACAGTGTTGAATCTAGCTGGAAGAGTGGCTGTGCTCTGTTTCCTCTGGAAGGGACATACCCAAACCAAAGGCACTCTTGACAGCCTCATCCTCTCTAGAGCTCTCTGCACATTGCAACTCTGCTCTCAGCTTACAGCAGTGGGCTGGGTGCTCCCACCAGCACCACTTTTGGGGAACTGGCAGGCACTCAAAGGCAACCCCAGACCCTGCCTCCCAGGAACGCTGTGCCTGACCAAGAACACCTACTCAATTTGACAGATCCATCGATTCCCAGAAGAATATTGTCACTTTTGATGTCTCTGTGGATCATTCGATGTGAATGAAGGAAGTCCAGGGCTTTCAGGCACTGAGATTAAACACAGAAACACAAGGGGAAAAATTAATTAGGCTGATTTTATTGCACAAAAAAGGAAATGGCTCTAAAACATCAAATTTCCAGGTGACACATCAATTGCAGACATACCTCAAGTGGCAAAGTTTAGAATTATAAATAAAATGAAATTAAACTAGAAAGGAAAGTACAACAACATTATAGGAGTATAATAACAGAGTACAAGAAATGCAGCGAGACTGGCAGGCCGTTCACTTGGATGCTCTTTTCTTCTCCACATCATAACAGCAACACAGAAACAAAGCTCTGAACAGGAAGTCACTCCTGTTCTTACCACCTTTTGCAAAGAACCATCCTGTCCAAGCTGTCAGAAGCAAGAGCAGCATCCCTTACCTCCTGACTGATAGAGGCTATCATCTCTTCCTCAAGAGCTTGTTTGGAAACCACAGTAGATAAGGTGCATCCCTCCACATATTCCATCACTATCCAGAGTTCTTCATTGAAAAGGTAGCTGAAAGAAGAAACCCACAGCATGGAGATGAATGGGTCCAGCTAAATGACCTTATGGGAAAGACTGCAGTTGAGTTTTCTTGCCAGGTCACTTGTAAATGAAGAGAGAATCTGAGCAGGCTAAATGAGAAAGGCTCATCTGTGAAAAAGGAGATGTCTTAGATGGCAAGCAAGGCAAAAATGCAGTTTAGTGACAGCAGAGAGAAATGTGGAACCAGGACATTGCCATCAGCTGCTTCATCATCTTAACTCATCCCTTCCAGCCTGAACTGCAGGAAGCAGGCAACACAGACTTCTCCACGGGAGGAGGGTGTGCACCACTGAGGACAGATGTTGGTCAAGCCCTTGGAAAGCATTGCATAAAGTGCATTCAGAAACAGGGAAAACCATTTAAAACCTGGCACATTGTGTGGTTGTGCAAACAAGAGCCTAGTCTTCCTGGCATCCACAGCAACAGAAAATAGTGGGAAAACCCCAAGGGTAATAATTTCTAGGTGGGTTTATCAGCACGTATCATTAAGGTAAAGAAATGATGATCAGTTTGAAAAAAACCAGACCCCAAAAGAACAGGGAGGTAGTGAACTGAAGGGCTGTGGCTTTAGGAAGACATGGCAGATGCAGGTTTTGGAAGACACGCTTCAAACTACCTATACCAGAAAAGGCCAAGGCAGACACAAGGCACATGTGAACCTCGATGTGATAATCCCAGAACCACTCACCTGTCTATATAATGAATGATATTGGGGTGCTTCCAGGACCTCAGGACTGCAACCTCAGTTAAAACAAGCTCCCTTGTGTTCTTTCTGTCGAGAACAAAAATCTTCTTGATGGCCACCTAAAAGGAGATTAAAAGCCACAGACTTGAGAAGTCTATTGCACAGGACCACAACGCACATGGAGCAGGTGTTTTTGGAATGATGGAGCCAGGGTGGGCCAAACTGCCTGGGATTAGACACCAGAGCTTCTTAACTGACAGGACAAGAGACGATTCCTCCACTCGCCCTTGTGTGCCAGTTACAGGACACATGGCTATAGACATTTTGCCTTGTAAACTCTGGACAAATGGTCTGCAAACAATCAATCCATAATGGAGGAAATCCCATCCTAAAAGGTCATGAGGGTTACACAAAAAAATACAATCCCGGCACTTTCTAACATCTTGAAGTTGGATTTTGCAACTCTAAAGAACGTTTTTAACCCAGTTCCTATTTGCAGTTCTTTTCTGGGTTTGAAAAGGAATAACCCATTCTAGGGTATTTTATGGATGTGGCCGGGGTTATGAGCAGCGCTCAGGGCCTTTAGATCCCTTGCAGACTCCTGTGTAAGTGCACTTCCCAAGTGCAGCACTGCAGCTGGGTAAGGAGCCACCAAGTAGCTGATGCATTAGCATAGTCAGTAAATAAGTCTGAGCAAAGGAGTCCTTCTCTGAAAGATACCCCTGCCCTCCTTGTGTTCTTTTGGGGACTTAATAAGGACAAGGTCTGTCCAAACCGTGTGTTGCAGGCTGACACTTGTCTGCCCTCAGAGGAAGAGTCTCTGCAGCAAAGATCTCGTGGCCACCCAGAGCTGTGGCCACGGCTCCCAGCGGAGGGGAAAGCACTCAAGAGCTGCACAATCTGCTAGGGGTGCTGGCCCTTACCTGTCCTCCTGTGGCAATGTCAACTCCTCGGAAAACTGTTCCAAAAGTCCTAGAAACAGAGCAGCAGCCAAGAAAGGAGAAGGCATTTAGGCCCTGGGCAAGAAAGCCAGCCCAGAGAGCAGAGCTCTGCTGCCCAGAGTGTTTATAAAACACTCGGCTTCAGCCCAGCAGCCCAGCAGCCCTCTGCCATGCAGGGTGGCCAGGAGAAAACATAGGACATACTCCACGTCCTGCTCCTTGTTACAGGCAAGAGACTGCCAGCATTGAGTTGTCTTTGACAATGCCTTCTGACCACAGTTATTAAATACTGATCAGGACTGACAGACAGGAGGATGTAAGCCCAGAGTCTGCCCATGTTTGCAGCTTGCCCGACTACATGCTTGATATGACACCAGCAAAATCCCTGGCCCATGGTTTTGTGGAAGTAGCTGAGATTGGACTTACCCTTGGCCAATTTGCTGTTGTAAAGTGTATTTCTTCGTAGGGTTCCCCTCACTCACATAGCGTTCTGAAAGAAACAACATGAAAGACGCTCGTGTGAAACAGAGATACCACCTTGCAGCAGATCCAAAAGGCAGCCCCACTGTGCGGGGCTGTGAGCCCTTTGTAATCAGCTGGTAACAACAACAACGACAACAATAACAATAACCACAACAGCAGAGGCAGCTCCGAAGCACAGATGGCTCCACAAAGACTGATTTTCCACAGTCTTTTGAGGCTTTACCTTGACAGGAAACCAAGCACATGGAGGAATGCTCAGAGGAGACAGAAATCAGAAAAGAACAGGCACCAATGCAAGAGTTTGTTGTCTACAAACATTAAGGAGAGCTGGTGCAACAGAGCCCTATTTTTTTGGAGAGAAACACTCCGTGTGATTCAGCAGAAGGAACAGCCACAGTGCTCTGTTGCTTCCTCTCTTCCTTTAGTAGAACTAAAGCTGACATGCATACCATGGACTGCTGTACCAGACAGGAAATACATGATACGTACTGAGTTCAGCAAGGAAATGTCGTGTTAGTGGGGACAGCTTTGGCGGCCGGTCCATGATTTTCTTTGGAATGCTTTTCTTCTGAGTGTCTCTTTTCCCGGTGCTTGTGCTTGGCATTTCAGTGTTGGCAAAGGTGACTTCTTCAGGCTGTGGTGCTGCAGCAACAGCTGCCATTGCAGAGCTCTTGAGGACCTGAGGCAAGAATTAGTTTATGTCAGAAAGGTGCCTTGCAGAGGTGCCCCGAGATCATAGTTCAAATGCAAACCCTTGGGAAGATGCTGTTGGTCACAAGTCGGGTTCTTAAACTGTCTTTTGCTGGCCACTTCGCAAAGTGAATGGACGAGAAGAAAAGACTGGATTTACATGAGTTCATGGGCAGTTTCCTCTTCAATTTTCATGCATTTTCTCAACTAGGTTGTGCAGAGGGGCAACTACCCTCTAGGGCACAGTTATTGCTGTGTGTCCTGAAAGGGACACTCTGACTCAACTTGGAAGTTCAAAACCCCTTTTCCAGGTGTCAGTGGCTGGGCTGAAGCACCATGTCATGGCACGGCTACAGCCCTCACACTCTTCAGCCATGCATGGCAAGCACTGGCTGCTCAGGAACTTGCAGCTCTGAATGACACCAAAGGCAGTGCTAACCAAAGCTGGCACTTACTGATTTCACTCCTTCAGGCTTTGCTTTCACGTTTTCCTTCTCTGCTTGCTCTTCCTTACTCTCTTGTCCAGAAACAGAGGGAGCCACCAGAGGTTCTGGTGATGGTGATGTGAACCTCTCTGTAAGGAGTCTCCTGACTGCATCGAGCAGAGGCCTAATGTTTTTGAGACTACCGGATTTTTCTAAAAATGGATGCTGCCCAAAAGAAAAAACAAAGAAAGAAAGGAGCCATTACTTTCCAAATGCAGTTTCCCACAGGCTCCAGCGGGATTCCTCTGGTTACCAGCAGTACACATCAGGAGGACTGAGGGCACCATCTACACCTCCAACTTCATGTCCAGGCCCTTGCTATCACAGGCAAACATGGCCCATAAGGCCCTTAATCAATTTCTCAAGGTGTCTGCAGCAAGGAGGTTTGCCTTGCCAGTGCTCGGGAATGCCACTTGCTGTCTCAGGCCTTTTTCCATTTCAGAAAACTCAAAGGACTCCCTTAGGTTCCTCTTCTCTAAAGACCTGGGCTATTTTAGGTGTGAAAACTGATGAGGAGCATAAGCCCCTCCTCGGGAAATTCCCCTACCTCTAAGCAAGGTCAACCCCAGGAGGATGCAGGCCTGTGTGTTGTTCTGAAGAGCACTGAGGTGGAGGTTCTCAGCACCCAGACAAGAGCAGGGACACAAGGGGCAGAGCGCTGATGGACTCAGCTCTGGCTTGCAGGGAGAGCAGTGTGTGCATTCCACCCCTGCCCCTCCCTGTGCTGGCTGCCCCCTTCCTTCCCAGCAGGGACAGCCCAGTGGCACCTTGTGCAGCTCCCTCTCTCTGCCACAAAACCTGCCAGAACCCTGGAGCACTTCTGGCCTGCTGGAATGTGCCAGGCAGCAAATGGGGCTGGGACAAGGCCCGCTCAGCTGTCCCTCCTTGGGTGGCAGAAACCTCAAAGAGAGAGGCAGGAGGGACAGCTGTTTCACCTGCAGCCACTTTACCTTCAGCAGCTGCCCGGCCGTCCATCGACGCTTCTCATTCCGTTTCAGGCAAGAATGCAGGAAGGAATGGAACTCAGGCGACAGGTTTCTGCGAGTTTTCAGCTGGGGTGGCTTGTCCTTAGGCTGGGACAAAAGACACAAGGCAGCCATTAACCATCCCTCCCCGAGGGGAAGAGCTCCAGCACAGGCCAGTCCTTGCTTTCTGAGACTTGACCTGGGGCTTCTCCAGGAGCCCTGATCAACATTTGAGCTTAAGGAAGCAGAGAATTTTCAGCATCCAGACCAGTCCTGCTAAGTGCCTTCATCTCTTTTTGCTGCCTTCTGCAAGGCAAATGCAATCCAAAAGAAGTCTTCCAAGAAAAGTCAGGGACCTTTTTCAGAAAGACTGGAAGACTGACATTTTCCATAATTGTTGCCTTCCTCAGGAATTAACTGTGCAGCATTTAACTTGGTTTCAGCTGTTAGTCATGGGGTTTTATCCCGGTATGCCTTCCTGGGCTATTGCACACTCCTTTGGTGTAAGAACGGGTCATTTCATTTTAGGGAATTAGCATCTACAACTGCAAACTTGAAAATACATTGGCTTACTCCAAGGAGCTGTGCTAGAACCTACTTTTAGAAATGTACTGGCTAATACATACTTGTGGCAGTACTAGAAGCAGTGACCTGCCCTGAAAGGCTCAGGTAAGCAGTGGGCACTGGTCCAAGTTTGAAAAGACTTCTGGCCTGCAGATCCCCTTGAAATGCTTTTCACAGTAATTCTCCAAGGGGAGAATCCTGCTGCTGAAAAATTCCTGCCATTGGGAGATCCAGCTCCAAGGGAGTTCAAAGAGCACAGGAGGAATTCAAGCATTGTTGGAGGCCCAAACGGCCCATTTCTGCACTGGCACATGTCGCTTCTCCTGTGAGCAGATGTGCTCCAGGACACTTTTAGACGTGGGCCTTGGTGGGACTAGTTCAAGCTGATGTCAGTGGGAGAAAGATATGGCTCAGGGGAGAAAGGTAGGGCTCTCTGACAGTATTTGCACCTTACCCGTGTAGGACCATCCACCATTTCTAGTGCCGTGATCCCAAGGGCCCAGATGTCCACTTTGGCATCATATTTGTCTCCTATCAACATTTCTGGTGCCATATAGTAAGGAGTCCCAATGAAAGACCTCCGTTTCTTCTCCCAGGGCTTAAGCCAAGCACAGTAGCCAAAATCAACTGCAGACAAAAACAAGGACTGTTAAAACCAGTTTGAATTATGAAAGCAAGCACAAGGATTCCCCACTCTCAGTCTGAGAGCACAGTGTTGAATCTAGCTGGAAGAGTGGCTGTGCTCTGTTTCCTCTGGAAGGGACATACCCAAACCAAAGGCACTCTTGACAGCCTCATCCTCTCTAGAGCTCTCTGCACATTGCAACTCTGCTCTCAGCTTACAGCAGTGGGCTGGGTGCTCCCACCAGCACCACTTTTGGGGAACTGGCAGGCACTCAAAGGCAACCCCAGACCCTGCCTCCCAGGAACGCTGTGCCTGACCAAGAACACCTACTCAATTTCACAGATCCATCCATTCCGAGAAGAATATTGTCACTTTTGATGTCTCTGTGGATCACTCGATTTGAATGAAGGAAGTCCAGGGCTTTCAGGCACTGAGATTAAACAAAGAAATGAGAGAAAAAAATTAATTAGGCTGATTTTATCACACAAAAAAGGAAATGGCTCTAAAACATCAAATTTCAGGTGACACATCAATTGCAGACATATTTCAAGTGGCAAAGTTTGGAATAATAAATGAAATAAAATGAAATTAAACTAAAAAAAAAGTACAACAACATTATATGAGTATAATAACAGAGTACAAGAAATGCAGTGAGACTGGCAGGCCGTTCACTTGGATGCTCTTTTCTTCTCCACATCATAACAGCAACGCAGAAACAAAGCTCTGAACAGGAAATCACTCCTGTTCTTACCACCTTTTGCAAAGAACCATCCTGTCCAAGCTGTCAGAAGCAAGAACAGCATATCCCTTACCTCCCGACTGATAGAGGCTATCATCTCTTCCTCAAGAGCTTGTAAGGAAACCACAGTAGATAAGGGGCATCCCTCCACATATTCCATCACTATCCAGAGTTCTTCATTGAAAACGTAGCTGAAAGAAGAAACCCACAGCATGGAGATGAATGGGTCCAGCTAAATGACCTTATGGGAAAGACTGCAGTTGAGTTTTCTTGCCAGGTCACTTGTAAATGAAGAGAGAATCTGAGCAGGCCAAATGAGAAAGGCTCATCTGTGAAAAAGGAGATGTCCTAGATGGCAAGCAAGGCAAAAATGCAGTTTAGTGGCAGCAGAGAGAAATGTGGAACCAGGACATTGCCATCAGCTGCTTCATCATCTTAATTCATCCCTTCCAGCCTGAACTCCAGGAAGCAGGCAACACAGACTTCTCCATAGGAGGAGGGTGTGCACCACTGAGGGCAGATGTTGGTCAAGCCCTTGGAAAGCATTGCATAAAGTGCATTCAGAAACAGGGAAAACCATTTAAAACCTGGCACATTGTGTGGTTGTGCAAACAAGAGCCTAGTCTTCCTGGCATCCACAGCAACAGAAAGTAGAGGGAAAACCCCAAGGGCAGTAATTTCTAGGTGGGTTTATCAGCACGTATCATTAAGGCAAAGAAATGATGATCAGTTTGAAAAAAAACAGACCCCAAAAGAACAGGGAGGTAGTGAACTGAAGGGCTGTAGCTTTAGGAAGACATGGCAGATGCACGTTTTGGAAGACACGCTTCAAACTACCTATACCAGAAAAGGCCAAGGCAGACACAAGGCAAGCTCCTCTCATCCACTTCAGTTGGAAGAGTTGAGAAATAATGAAGAGCTCCATGTTCTTCCAGTGACCAAAGTGGCTTTTTAGCTTTGGCTTGCAGTGTGTCAATGAACCTCAATGTGATAATCCCAGAACCACTCACCTGTCTATATAACGAATGATATTGGGGTGCCTCACGCATCTCAAGAGTGAAACCTCAGTTAAAATTATCTCTCTTGCGTACTTTTCCTTGCAAAGAAACATCTTCTTGATGGCCACCTAAAAGGAGATTGAAAGCCACAGACTTGAGAAGTCTGTTGCACGGGACCACAACGCACATGGAGCAGGTGTCTTTGGAATGATGGAGCCAGGGTGGGCCAAACTGCCTGGGATTAGACACCAGAGCTTCTTAACTGACAGGACAAGAGACGATTCCTCCACTCGCCCTTGTGTGCCAGTTACAGGACACATGGCTATAGACATTTTGCCTTGTAAACTCTGGACAAATGGTCTGCAAACAATCAAACCATAATGGAGGAAATCCTACCCTAAAAGGTCAGGGAGGTTTCACAAAAAAAAATACAATCCCGGCACTTTCTAACATCTTGAAGTTGGATTTTGCAACTCTAAAGAACGTTTTTAACCCAGTTCCTATTTGCAGTTCTTTTCTGGGTTTGAAAAGGAATAACCCATTCTAGGGTGTTTTATGGATGTGGCCGGGGTTATGAGCAGCGCTCAGGGCCTTTAGATCCCTTGCAGACTCCTGTGTAAGTGCACTTCCCAAGTGCAGCACTGCAGCTGGGTAAGGAGCCACCAAGTAGCTGATGCATTAGCATAGTCAGTAAATAAGTCTGAGCAAAGGTGTCCTTCTCTGAAAGATACCCCTGCCCTCCTTGTGTTCTTTTGGGGACTTAGTAAGGACAAGGTCTGTCCAAACCGTGTGTTGCAGGCTGACACTTGTCTGCCTTCAGAGGAAGAGTCTCTGCAGCAAAGATCTCGTGGCCACCCAGAGCTGTGGCCACAGCTCCCAGCGGAGGGGAAAGCACTCGAGAGCTGCACAATCTGCCGGGGGTGATGGCCCTTACCTGTCTTCCTGTATCAATGTCAACTCCTCGGAAAACTCTTCCACAAGACCTAGAAACAGAACAGCAGCCAAGAAAGGAGAAGGCGTTTAGGCCCTGGGCGAGAAAGCCAGCCCAGAGAGCAGAGCTCTGCTGCCCAGAGTGTTTATAAAACACTCGGCTTCAGCCCAGCAGCCCAGCAGCCCAGCAGCCCTCTGCCATGCAGGGTGGCCAGGAGAAAACATAGGACATACTCCATGTCCTGTTCCTTGTTACAGGTAAGAGGCTGCCAGCATTGAGTTTTCTTTGACAATGCCTTCTGACCACAGTTATTAAATACTGATCAGGACTGACAGACAGGAGGATGTAAGCCCAGTGTCTGCCCATGTTTGCAGCTTGCCCGACTGCATGCTTGATATGACACCAGCAAAATCCCTGGCCCATGGTTTTGTGGAAGTAGCTGAGATTGGACTTACCCTTGGCCAATTATCTGCTGTAAAGTGTATTTCTTCGTAGGGTTCCCCTCACTCACAGTGCCCTCTGAAAGAAACAACATGAAAGACGCTCGTGTGAAACAGAGATACCACCTTGCAGCAGATCCGAAAGGCAGCCCCACTGTGCGGGGCTGTGAGCCCTTTGTAGTCAGCTGGTAACAACAACAACAACAATAACCACAACAGCAGAGGCAGCTCCGAAGCACAAAGACTGATTTTCCACAGTCTTTTGAGGGTTTACCTTGACAGGAAACTAAGCCCTTGGAGGAATGCTCACAGGAGACAGAAATCAGAAATGAACAGGCACCAATGAAAGAATTTGTTGTCTACAAACATTAAGGGGACCTGGAGCAACAGAGCCCTTATTTTCTTGGAGAGAAACACTCCGTGTGATTCGGCCAAAGGTTTAGTAGTTTTGAATGCACTAAGTTAAGTGCATTAAAAATTAAATTTTGACAATTAAATTGAGTTTTGGAATCTACTGTTGTGAACAAGTGCCATTTTCAGAACAGAAAGAATATTATCAGGTGTTTACAGGAGAGGATGGAATCTGCCCAACCTTTCAGCTGTTTGCCAAAAAAAAGCCTTTATGGTGTTCAAGAGCAGCATCTCAAGTTCTAATCCCTGAGGATGGGGCTTTATAAACAAGGAGCCTCATCACGGATCAGCAGGCTGAGTTCTGAAGAGGACCTTGCCTGTGCCATTTGAAGAACCACACTGCTTGTCTTCAACCTTAGAGATTTCGGCAAAGTCTCTGTACTCCAATGACTTGTGAGGAGTCAGGAGTCTAAAGAGAATTTAGGAACCCTAATATTCTCTTGGGTTTGGCCCTCTGCACACAGGAGTTCACTAGGTCATTCACTAGGTCAAAGCCTTCTGCTCAACCAGAAACCATCTCTGCCTTTGCCTGGAGCGTAGATGGAAGCTCAGGAAAACTGAATCCAGCCCCAGCTGCCCTCCGAGGCAGAAGGAACAGCCACAGTGCTCTGTTGCTTCCTCTCTTCCTTTAGTAGAACTAAAGCTGACATGCATACCATGGACTGCTGTACCAGACAGGAAATACATGATACGTACTGAGTTCAGCAAGGTAAAGACGTGTTAGTGGGGACAGCTTTGGCGGCCGGTGCGTGATTTTCTTTGGAATCCTTTTCTTTGCAATGCTTTTCTTTCGAGTGTCGCCTTTCCCGGTGCTTGTGCTTGGCATTTCAGTGTTGGCAAAGGTGACTTTTTTAGGTTGTGGTTCTGCAGCAGCACCAGGCCTCTTGAGGATCTGAGGCAAGAATTAGGTTCTGTGAGAAAAGTGGCTTGCAGAGATGCCCCGAGATCATAGTTCAGATGCAAACCCTTGGGAAGATGCTGTTGGCCACAAGTCGGGCTCTTAAACTGTCTTTTGCTGGCCACTTCACAAAGTGAATGGACGAGAAGAAAAGACTGGATTTACACGAGTTCATGGCCAGTTTCCTCTTCAATTTTCATGCATTTTCTCAACTAGGCCGTTCAGAGGGGCAACTACCCTCTAGGGCACAGTTATTGCTGTGTGTCCTGCAAGTGACACTCTGACTCAACTTGGAAGTTCAAAACCTCTTTTCCAGGTGTCAGTGGCTGGGCTGAAGCACCATGTCATGGCAGGGCTCCAGCCCTCACACTCTTCAACCATGCATGGCAAACACTGGCTGCTCAGGAACTTGCAGCTCTGAATGACACCAAAGGCAGTGCTAACCAAAGCTGGCACTTACTGATTTCATTCCTTCAGGCATGACTTTTCCAACAGCCACAGGTTCCTTCTCCACTTCTTTCTCTTCAACCTCCTGTCCAGAATCAGAGGGGGCCAGAAGAGGTTCTGGTGCTGCTGTTGTGTCCTGGGGAGAGTCAGTAGAGTCAGGGCCAGTCAGCATTCTGTCCCTTGCAAGGTTGGATAGTTACACACAATAACAAAAGGGTCATTTCACAAAAGGCCACTTTCTTGTTCAGTTTGCTTACATTTTCTCAAGTAGGCTATTCAGACGGGCAGGTAACCCCAGGGCACAGTTATTCCTATGTGTCCTGCCAGGGACACTGGCTCAACTTGGAAGGTTAAAACCCCTTTTCCAGGTGTCAGTGGCTGGGCTGAAGCACCATGTGATGGAAGGACTCCAGCCCTCACACTCTTCAGCCATGAAAAGCAAGCTTGCTCTCATCACAAGTTCTAAATTACACCAAAGGCAATGCTACTGTACTCTGGCACTTACTGATTTAATTTCTTCAGGCTCTGCGGCTCCAACAACAGCCACAAGTTCATTGTCCACTTGCTCTTCTTTACCCTCTTGTCCAGAAAGAGAGGGAGCCAGCAGAGGTTCTGGTGCTGCTGTTGTGCCCTGGGGAATGTCAGTAGCGTCAGGGACAGTCACCATTCTGTCCCTTGCAAGGTTGGATAGTTACACACAATAACAAAAGGGTCATTTGACACAGGGCCACTTTCTTGTTCTTTTTTTTTATGGTTTTCTGAAATAGGCCCTGTGGAGGGGCAGGTACGTCCAGGGGACAGTTTCTCCTGTCTCCTAGGAATCCTGCACGGCAATCTAAAGACTAAACAGGAAGAGTCAAAACCCCTTTTCCAGGTGTCAGTGGCTGGGTAGAAGCACAGTGTCATGGAAGGACTCCAGCCCTTGCACAGTCTTCAGCCATGAAAAGCAAGCTTGCTCTCATCACAAGTTCTAAATTACACCAAAGGCAATGCTACTGTACTCTGGCACTTACTGATTTAATTTCTTCAGGCTCTGCGGCTCCAACAACAGCCACAAGTTCATTGTCCACTTGCTCTTCTTTAATGTCTTGTCCGGAAATAGAGGGAGCCAGCAGAGGTTCTGGTGTCACGTTTGTGCCCTGGGGACAGTCAGTAGAGTCAGGGACAGTCACCATTCTGTCCCTTGCAAGGTTGGATAGTTACACACAATAACAAAAGGGTCATTTGACACAAGGCCACTTTCTTGTTCAGTTTGCTTACATTTTCTCAAGTAGGCTATTCAGATGGGCAGGTAACCCCAGGGCAGAGTTATTCCTATGTGTCCTGCCAGGGACACTGGTTCAACTTGGAAGTTCAAAACCCCTTTTCCAGGTGTCAGTGGCTGGGCTGAAGCACCATGTGATGGAAGGACTCCAGCCCTCACACTCTTCAGCCATGAAAAGCAAGCTTGCTCTCATCACAAGTTCTAAATTACACCAAAGGCAATGCTACTGTACTCTGGCACTTACTGATTTAATTTCTTCAGGCTCTGTGGCTCCAACAACAGCCACAAGTTCATTGTCCACTTGCTCTTCTTTACCCTCTTGTCCAGAAAGAGAGGAAGCCAGCAGAGGTTCTGGTGCTGCTGTTGTGCCCTGGGGAATGTCAGTAGCGTCAGGGACAGTCACCATTCTGTCCCTTGCAAGGTTGGAGAGTTACACACAATAACAAAAGGGTCATTTGACACAGGGCCACTTTCTTGTTCTTTTTTTTTATGGTTTTCTGAAATAGGCCCTGTGGAGGGGCAGGTACGTCCAGGGGACAGTTTCTCCTGTCTCCGAGGAATCCTGCACGGCAATCTAAAGACTAAACAGGAAGAGTCAAAACCCCTTTTCCAGGTGTCAGTGGCTGGGCTGAAGCACCATGTGATGGAAGGACTCCAGCCCTTGCACAGTCTTCAGCCATGAAAAGCAAGCTTGCTCTCATCACAAGTTCTAAATTACACCAAAGGCAATGCTACTGTACTCTGGCACTTACTGATTTAATTTCTTCAGGCTCTGCAGCTCCAACAACAGCCACAAGTTCATTGTCCACTTGCTCTTCTTTAATGTCTTGTCCGGAAAGAGAGGGAGCCAGCGCAGGTTCTGGTGTCACGTTTGTGCCCTGGGGAGAGTCAGTAGAGTCAGGGACAGTCACCATTCTGTCCCTTGCAAGGTTGGATAGTTACACACAATAACAAAAGGGTCATTTCACACAAGGGCCAGGCCATTTTCTTGTTCATGGATTTTCTGAAATAGGCCCTGTGGAGGGGCAGGTACATCCAGGGGACAGTTTCTCCTGTCTCCTAGGAATCCTGCACGGCAATCTAAAGATTAAACAGGAAGGGTCAAAACCTCTTTTCCAGGTGTCAGCAGATGGGCTGAAGCACCATGTCATGGCACGGCTACAGCCCTCACACTCTTCAGCCATGCATGGCAAACACTGGCTGCTCAGGAACTTGCAGCTCTGAATGACACCAAAGGCAGTGCTAACCAAAGCTGGCACTTACTGATTTAATTTCTTCAGGCTTTGCTTTCACGTTTTCCTTCTCTGCTTGCTCTTCCTTACTCTCTTGTCCAGAAACAGAGGGAGCCAGCAGAGGTTCTGGTGATGGTGTTGTGACCCTCTCTGTAAGGAGTCTCCTGGCTGCATCGAGCAGAGGACTGTTGTTGGTGAGAGTACTGGATTTTTCTAAAACTGGATGCTGCCCAAAGGAAAAAACAAAGAAAGAAAGGAGTCATTACTTTCCAAATGCAGTTTCCCACAGGCTCCAGCGGGATTCCTCTGGTTACCAGCAGTACACATCAGGAGGACTGAGGGCACCATCTACACCTCCAACTTCATGTCCAGGCCCTTGCTATCACAGGCAAACATGGCCCATAAGGCCCTTAATCAATTTCTCAAGGTGTCTGCAGCAAGGAGGTTTGCCTTGCCAGTGCTCGGGAATGCCACTTGCTGTCTCAGGCCTTTTTCCATTTCAGAAAACTCAAAGGACTCCCTTAGGTTCCTCTTCTCTAAAGACCTGGGCTATTTTAGGTGTGAAAACTGATGAGGAGCATAAGCCCCTCCTCGGGAAATTCCCCTACCTCTAAGCAAGGTCAACCCCAGGAGGATGCAGGCCTGTGTGTTGTTCTGAAGAGCACTGAGGTGGAGGTTCTCAGCACCCAGACAAGAGCAGGGACACAAGGGGCAGAGCGCTGATGGACTCAGCTCTGGCTTGCAGGGAGAGCAGTGTGTGCATTCCACCCCTGCCCCTCCCTGTGCTGGCTGCCCCCTTCCTTCCCAGCAGGGACAGCCCAGTGGCACCTTGTGCAGCTCCCTCTCTCTGCCACAAAACCTGCCAGAACCCTGGAGCACTTCTGGCCTGCTTGAATGTGCCAGGCAGCAAATGGGGCTGGGACAAGGCCCGCTCAGCTGTCCCTCCTTGGGTGGCAGAAACCTCAAAGAGTGGGGCAGGAGGGACAAGCTGGGCCCCCTCTGAGGCTCGCAGTGAGCTCCCCACAGCCCCTTCCTTCTCCCAGGCCATTAATACTCTGACCACTTGGCTGGGACTGCTTCCTTGGGTCCCCCTCCACCAACACCATTTCAGCCTCTGGACCTGCTATTATTCTACTCCCGCTCTTTTGCCACCAGGTACAACCAAGTGTCCTCCCAAAGTACAAGCCAGGGCCACAGACAGGACCAGATGGTGGAAGACCTTTCCTCGGAGGAAAGGCCAAGAGGGATGGCACTGGAGAAGAGAAGGTCCCAGGGAGAGCTTATTGTGGCCTTTCAATCCTTCAAGGGGACACATGTTTTCAAAGGGCCCGGTTGCAATGGGACAAAGGGTCATGGTTTTCAAGTGGAAGAGGATAGATTCTGGTTACATCTAAGGAAGTCATTGTTTAGAATGAGGGTGCTGAAACACTGGCACAGGAAGTGGATACCCCATCCCTGGTCAGGTGGGACAGGGCTCTGAGCAACCCGGTCTAGTTGAAGATGTCCCTGCTCATTGCAGGAGGGTTGGACTAGATGCCACTTAAAGGTCTCTTCCAAGCCAAATTATTTAAGGATGCTACTTATTTGTCTTTTGAAAAGCACTAAGACTGGAGATTAGTAGAAGAGGAGGCCTCCTGATGCCTCTGAGTTTAGCTGATGACAAAGCCCATCCCTGGACAGCTGTTTCACCTGCAGCCACTTTGTCTGCAGAAGCTGCTTGGTAGGCCATCGGGGCCTCACATTCCCGTACAGGTAAGACTGCAGGAAGGATCGGAACATAGACGGCGGATTTCTGGGAGTCTCCAGCTGGGGTGGCACGTCCTTAGGATTGGGACAAAGGAAACACAAGACAGCCATTAACATGCACTTGGTCCTACGGGCCTCAGTTCTACAGTGCATATGTCCCAGGACAATTTAACTCTCCAGCAAATTAGGGGAGTTGAAATCCCTCCACAGTCCCAGCTGCCTCTCAGTGGCAGGGCATTACATCCCATTGTCCCAAATTTGCTCTCTTTACCAACTAGTTAGACAGTGCTGCATCTTGCTCTGACTTAGATATCCCACCATGGCTAAAAGCAGCAAACAATCTTCTGCCTGCAAACCCAGACCTTCCTCTGTTTAAAAGCTCTTGAACAGAAAATGAGAAAACAGCCAGGGATGCCTTGGCTGCTGCTGCTGCTGCTGCAAAGGCACTGACATGGACTTTCTTTCATGGACTTGCTTTCAGCCTCTCAGGCTGGCACTTTGTTGTAGCAGGCCAAGCTCACAGCTCGCTCCATGATTCCTAAAAACTAGGAACGTCAAAGCTTCCTTTTCCACTCACAGAAGGACGGGCTGCTCTCTGTCCATCTCCATATCCACTGGTGATTCCGTCTGCAATGGGCAAGGCAAAATGAAGCAGACGCTGTCAGAAAACTGCCTCTTGTGGGGAATCCCATCACACAAGGCAACCCAAATAAAGAGCATTTTTCTTTCACAACATCTCTCCAGGAGCAACAGTTCTTTTGCACAGCAAGCAAGAGAAGAGGACAAAACCCCATGTTCATCTTCTTCTACAGTTTCCTGTCTATTTTTTATGCTGTTTTCCCAGGAAATAAAACAAATAGAAACTCCATCAAGCAAATGTAAATTGTCCATTAACAGTCAATGCTTCTGTTCTGCCCAAGAGCTAAAGCAGCTTTAGCTAAAGAGATAAAGAAGTTTCCTCTTCTTTTTTTTCTTTTTCTGTTCTGTTGGCTTTTGGTTTTTCTTTTAATAAATGGCAAGCATCAGTTCTCTTTAGCTTGCTGAAAATGTTTCCCCAGAAAAACTGTCCAAAAAATCCCCTCTAGCCATTCTAGCACAAGAACAGCTCCTGGGTTCAGGAGCCTGCACCCTGCATTTGTTTGGAAGCTGGCATTTTATCTCAGAGGTCATTGGTGTGATCAAATCCTTTAATTATGGAATTTAACAAACAGGATGCTTTCCCCTCAGTTCTGGAGATAACTGAACAGTTTTTAGAAGAACTTCTGAGAAGTTCTCCCAAGCCTGCATTTTGGAAGTCGTACTGGTAGAACCAGCAAAGTGAGGAAATTACAGACTCCACAGGCTAGCCAGTGGAGGGCACAGAACCCCCTCAAGTTCCATTCCAAATGCTGTCCACACACAGACCCCCCCTTTTCAGACAAAGCTGTTGACAGGAGTTCTACCAAACTAAGGGCATCTTAAGGGCAGTTTTGTTTCTAAATCATCTCAGTGCCTAAGGAAGAGCATAAAGAACACAGCCATGCCAAAGCCAGGTATGCTGCCCCCAGGAACAAACACTACTCACCTCTCGGGAAATCCGTCACCTGGCAGGGCCTGTCGGAAGAAAAATATAAATTTGATGAAAAGAGCACAAAATCATGAACTGCAGCACAGATTTGCCGAAACATTTCAGCAAAGCTGTGCTGCAGTCCAAGGGGCACAGCCCCTTGGGGGAGGGAAAAGAAAACCGCTCTCTAGTTTGTAGGCTCTCCACTGAGAGCTCCTCGATCTGAAAACTCCTCTGGGACGCCCGTTCACAAGCTCTCCGCTGAGAAATCCTCAATCCGAAGACTCCTCTGCGACGAGCACGCGACGAACTGCACCGCAAGCCGAGGCCCTTGGTGCCTGACTGAGAGCGTTCCACGGACACTGCAATGGCCACCCAGCACTTCAGTGACATCACAGCGACAGTGGGGCAACAGTCCTGTGACATCACGGAAACAGCCGTTCAAGGTTCCCCACGCTGCAATGGTTTTGGGTGGCTTCTTGACCCCTGGAATGTTGAATCTTGCTCTCCTGTTGGAGCCTGACCTCCCTTTCTTGCAGTGACTTGTCAGCTTACCTCCCGATGTAAAGCTCACCTTTCTGTCTAAAACTCATCTGGAAATCAACTCTGCTCTTCCATGGAATAATGATTGAGGCTTAGCTTGTTTTCCTGGTGATTCTTTGAATGGATACAGAAACCAGGGTGTCAGAAAACAGGCTGAGAGGGTCAAAGGCTTGGATGAATTCCTGGACATCTTACGAGGGAGGGTGGCATTTGAAAACTGATCCACCCACTTAAAGCCCCGGCTCTACACTGAAACTATATTGAGAACACGTAGTTTTAAATTTTTCTGTGGGAAAGGAATCTCACTTGTACAGGCTGACTGTCAAGAAAGGGGACAACATGGTGCTGCAGACACTCATGGATCACCCGGCTGTTGTAGGATGGTTTCCTTTCAAGTGCCATCTCTGGGAGTTGGCTCCCAGTGTCTGTCCTCGGTGCTTTAAAATAACAAGTATCTAGTGCTTGGGAGTAGGAGCTGCCACAGGCACTCTGAACAGCATCAGGACTCCGCATTTTAATTCTCACAGTCTTCGAGGCCCGACTCTTGACTTGTTTGTTCAGGACTGGACTCTTGATTTTTTGACTCTCGGAGGTAGATGCTCCCAGGAGTGCTGGGAACAATAGAACTTTTTAAATAGTTTTAGTTATTGGTTTTAATTAACCTTGTAATTGGTTGTTTTAACTAATCGTAAGTGGTGTGTTAGGCCTAAAATCACTTCTAGCAAGCCTTCAGCAGAATTTAACAGAAACTGCCATTGTGAGAACACAGCTTGGGAAAAGTACTACAACTCCAAGTTTTGTTAAGCTAACCTCACTGGGCTTCAGTGAACAAAGCCTAGGGAGAAGGATGTACTGCTGAAGTTGCACATCTGGAATACAGAATGTATGGACCAAAAGGACGTTTTCCAGAAGCCAGAGGATAAAGAAGGCGCTAACAAAGACTCGGTCGATGTGTTGGAAAGGCCCTACCAGAAGAAAAAGATACTAAAAAGACTAAAACTGTGGGCTAATTAGCATGGAAACGGAGAAATCCATGAGCAATAGAAAATTGAATATTAGTTAATGAAAGAGCACTGTGTAATTAGAACCAAAAAACATTAATTGCTTTGTTTGTTAAAGATGGAAAGATAGGTGAAAAAGTTTTGAATCTGTGTCTGTGTGGAGGCCCCTGGCCAGTGACCCACAGCCCGCAGCGCTGTGAATAAAGTGACACCTTGCGGGCTGTGAATAAAGTAATGCCTTGCTTTTTAACACTAGCATTGCAGGGTTTGAGGGTTCTATTATCCCGAGGATTTCAGAGGTATTTGACAACAGTAGCTGACTCCAGGAAGAGTGAGATTCCTTCCCGGCAGCCCTCACAGCACAGCCCTCGCTGTACCAAGCTGGGCTTCTCCCCTTTTACCGTGGAGAGGCTTGGAGGGCATTCAGAACAGCTGTGATTGCCTGACATGGACAGCATTTGTTGTGAATCCCTCAGGGACACGTCCGTGTTCCACACGTGGCAGGGAGCCCTTGGAGCAGCTGTCAGAGTGGGGGTGCCCCCGTGGGTGCTTCCTGCCCCTTCTCCCCCCTTTGGCCACTTCTCCCATAGCCACTCAAGTCAGACTTTCTCCCAGGAAAGTTCTCTGCCCAGCACTGAGCTCCTGGTGCACCTGCAAAAACCAAATTCCCTTAGGCTTGTGGGAAACCTACAGGGTCGGAACCCTCAGTGAACATGGAGCTCTTAAATCCTTCTCCTATCCAACTTCTGTGTGCATGTAAGATTTTCTGGGGCCCTGACTAGCCTTTCTGTCTGCTACAGTGGAATATCAGGGCGACGGAGCAGCGGGGGTGTGTGAGGGGGTCTCTCTCTTTGCTGCCTGCTGAGGGGAAGGCGCTGAGAGACTGCGCATGCTCCGAGAGCGAGGTGAACCGTTCGGTGAGAGGCAGACTCGAAGCCTTCATCCCCTACGGCCACCCGAGAGAAGTGGGCAGGTGCCAGAAGGCGTGTGCCGAGATTTCCATAGACCAGCGCCCACTCTGGGGTAGTTCCTGAATATGTAAAACCGTGCGATGGATATGGATGACCTGCTGGGAGAAAACGGGAGCCGGGAGGGGGGAGCGGTCGCGCGTGTCAGGCGGAGTCATCCCCGCGCGTCCGGCAGCGTAATAAACAACTAGCGGCTTCATAGCGCCTGTGGCTCTTGAGTTTTACTACCGTCGCCTTTTCCCGGCATCCCCGAGGCCTCAGCTGAGATGGGGTGACCCCCAGGCTGAAGCAAAAGCCGCTGCGGGCTGAAGCAGCGGGGCACAAGGGCTGAGATGAGAATGGCTCTGGGCTTAGACAAAACCGGCTGCAGCTGAGGCGGGAGGGGCCCAGTTATGAGGCAGAAAGGGCTGTGGGCTGAGGCAAAACCGGCTGCGGGCTGAGGGAAAAACTGGTGCGGGCTGAGGGGAAAACACCTGAGGGCTGAGGCAAAAACAGTTGCCGATGAGGCGGGGCGGCCCCCGACTGAGGCAGCAGCGGCGCCGGTTCTCAGCCTGGGCGATGGGGTGGGGCGGGGGGAAGAGGCCAGGCACTGAGCACAGTGGCGAGGAGTCTCCCTACAGCTCCCCGGCCCCACGCTGTCCCGCTCCCAACTTGAAGGAAGCCCCAGTTCCCTCCCACACACACAGCTTTCCGGTTTTCCTTTAATTTTTTCCTGTTCCCACACAAACGCTACATTATATATACACACTATATATACACACTATATGGAAACACTATTTACACAGTCTCGCTCTGTATATATATACACACACACATATGTACATTATCTATATATAAGGGAGCATTATGTAAGGGGCTACAGTGCAGGAGAGTTATGGGGTGTTGTGCAAGTGCCCTAGACAGTACAGAGTCCAGGTATGCCCATAGCACTGTAACACACTATCTATATACAACGGTCATTATTCTACAGTACCTTGTGTGTCTATATATTTTATAAATTTGCACACCCCCCATATAACGCTCCCACATTTAGTAATCTCCATGATATCAGTTGTGCCATTTCATGGGGAGCCTCCAAGCCATGAGGATCCGTCATTTTGTGGGGCCTCTCCCAGGGAAGGCTGTCACCCTCTGTGTCAGCCTCAGTTCCCAGGGCAGAACTGGGATGCCTAAAGGACACTCACCTGAGCACAAGCCTGTGGAACAGCCCAGCTCCCTCCCCCTCTGTCCAGAGTGGCACAGACACTCCCGACCTTTCCCAGGAGCTACGAGGCAACCAAGAGGTCAGGAGGCATCGCCAGAAACGACTCAATCACTCTGCTCTCTTTTGCCCTTCTCGAGTCCTGCGCAGACCCAAGGTGGCAAATCCCATCAGTCCGTGCATTTCCATGCCTGGCCACGATTCCCCTCTGGAGCAGCCCACACCCAGTTTGTCTCCGAGTCTGGAAGATTAGTCTGGTCCCAGAAAGATGCAAGCACCCCGGGCTGGGCTTCTTCCAGCCTGGCTCTGCGCATGCTGAGGCTGCTCTGCGCTCTGCCCGGGCTCTGCAGGGGCTCAGCCCCTCACACTGCTGCTCTGAAAGCCTCGCATCAGACGTGCCCTTTCGGAGCACACGGGCTGACCTTCTGCTTTTTCAGCTGAGGAAGACTCTCATCCAGCACAGAGATTGCAAGGGGTCATACAAACCCAACTGTCAAGAACTCAAACACTCTACGGTCCCAGTTGAATACCTGTACCCAACGGGGTGATTTGTCTGCCCCACTCTCCATCTGGTTGTGGCTGGACTTGCAATTGCACTTTCTTCCTCATATAGAAGTACCACGACTGGGCAAACGCAGGCCAGTGGGATATATTCCAAAGGCAATGTGGTCTGGAGCCGATGAATGAAAGAAGCCCTTCCCCAATTCCAAACCATACCAAAACCCCCATCAATGGGACTTCCCAGCTATGAATAACAACAAAAGTTTATTTACAAATGAAGTGGCTGCAAAGATCAGAGTAGATATTGGCTATTTTCCTAGTCCTTGTCTACTCTGTGCCTCCTTTGCCAGTGGAGGCATTTCCATGTCGGGAAAGGTGACTTCTCCAGGTTGTGGTGCTGCAGCAGCGCCTGCCATTGCAGAGCTCTTGAGGATCTGTGGCAAGAATTAGGTTATGTCAGAAATGTGGCTTGCAGAGATACCCTGAGATCATAGTTCAAATGCAAACCCTTGGGAAGATGCTGTTGGCCACAAGTTGGGCTCTTAAACTGTCTCTTGCTGCCCACTTCACAAAGTGAATGGACGAGAAGAAAAGACTGGATTTACACGAGTTCATGGGCAGTTTCCTCTTCAATTTCAATGGATTTTTGAACTGTGCAGAGGGGCAGGTATCCCCAAGGGACAGTTTCTCCTGTCTCCTGCAAGGGACTCTGACTCGACTTGGAAGTTCAAAACCCCTTTTCCAGGTGTCAGTGGCTGGGCTGAAGCACCATGTCATGGCAGGGCAACAGCCCTCACACTCTTCAGTCCCAAAGAGCGAGCACTGTCTGCTCAGGAACTTGCAGCTCTGATTGACACCAAAAGCAGTGCTAATGTACTCTGGCACTTACTGATTTCACTCCTTCAGGCTTTGCTTTGACAACTTTCTTCTCTACTTGCTCTTCTTTCCCCTCTTGTCCAGAAACAGAGGGAGCCAGCAGAGGTTCTGGTGCCGCTGTTCTGGGTCTCCTGGCTGCATCAATCAGAGGAGCCATCTCGACAAGACTCTTGGATTTTCCTAAAAACGGATGCTGCACCAAAAAAACCAAAGAAGAACAAAAGGAGCCATTACTTTCCAAATGCAGTTTCTCACAGGCTCCAGTGGGATTCCTCTGGTTACCAGCAATACACATCAGGAGGACGTGGGGAACTATCTAGACCTCCATCTTTCCTCTGAGGAAAGGCCAAGAGGGATGCCACTGGAGAAGAGAAGGTGCCAGGGAGAGCTTATTGTGGCCTTTCAGTCCTTCAAGGGGACACATGTTTTCAAAGGGCGTGGTTGCAATGGGACAAAGGGTCATGGTTTTCAAGTGGAAGAGGATAGATTCTGGTTACATCTAAGGAAGTCATTGTTTAGAATGAGGGTGCTGAAACACTGGCACAGGAAGTGGATACCCCACCCCTGGTCAGGTGGGACAGGGCTCTGAGCAACCCGGTCTAGTTGAAGATGTCCCTGCTCGTTGCAGGAGGGTTGGACTAGATGCCACTTAAAGGACCCGTCCAAGCCAAACTATTCTAGGATGCTACTTAGTTGTCATTTGAAAAGCACCAAGACTGGAGATCAGTAGGAGAGGAGGCCTCCTGATGCCTCTGAGTCTAGCTGATGACAAAGTCCATCCCTGGACAGCTGTTTCACCTGCAGCCACTTTACCTGCAGCAGCTGCCAGGCCGTCCATCGATGCTTGGCATTCGGGTTCAGGCAGGACTGCAGGAAGGAACGGAACACAGGAGACAGGTTTCTGGGAGTCTCCAGCTCGGGTGGCATGTCCTTAGGCTTGGGACAAAGGAAACACAAGGCAGCCATTAACCATCCCTCCCCGAGGGGAAGAGCTCCAGCACAGGCCAGTCCTTGCTTTCTGAGACTTGACCTGGGGTTTCTCCAGGAGCCCTGATCAACATTTGAGCTTAAGGAAGCAGAGAATTTTCAGCATCCAGACCAGTCCTGCTAATTGCCTTCAACTCTTTTTGCTGCCTTCTGCAAGGCAAATGCAATCCAAAAGAAGTCTTCCAAGAAAAGTCAGGGACCTTTTTCAGAAAGACTGGAAGACTGACATTTTCCGTAATTGTTGCCTTCCTCAGGAATTAACTGTGCAGCATTTAACTTGGTTTCAGCTGTTAGTCATGGGGTTTTATCCCGGTATGCCTTCCTGGCCTATTGCACACTCCTTTGGTGTAAGAACGGGTCATTTCATTTTAGGGAATTAGCATCTACAACTGCAAACTTGAAAATACATTGGCTTACTCCAAGGAGCTGTGCTAGAACCTACTTTTAGAAATGTACTGGCTAATACATACTTGTGGCAGTACTAGAAGCAGTGACCTGCCCTGAAAGGCTCAGGTAAGCAGTGGGCACTGGTCCAAGTTTGAAAAGACTTCTGGCCTGCAGATCCCCTTGAAATGCTTTTCACAGTAATTCTCCAAGGGGAGAATCCTGCTGCTGAAAAATTCCTGCCGTTGGGAGATCCAGCTCCAAGAGAGTTCAAAGAGCACAGGAGGAATTCAAGCATTGTTGGAGGCCCAAACGGCCCATTTCTGCACTGGCACATGTCGCTTCTCCTGTGAGCAGATGTGCTCCAGGACACTTTTAGACGTGGGCCTTGGTGGCACTAGTTCAAGCTGATGTCCGTGGGAGAAAGATATGGCTCAGGGGAGAAAGGCAGGGCTCTCTGACAGTATTTGCACCTTACCTGTGTAGGACCATCCACCATTTCTAGTGCCGTGATCCCAAGGGCCCAGATGTCCACTTTGGCACCATATCGGTCTCTTCTCAACATTTCTGGTGCCATATAGAAACGGGTCCCCAGGAATGACCTCCGTTTCTTCTGCCAGGGCTGAAGCCAAGCACAGAAGCCAAAATCAACTGCAAGAAAAGAAATAGTGTTAAAACCAGTTTGAATTATGAAAGCAAGCACAAGAATTCCCCACTCTCGGTCTGAGAGCACAGTGTTGAATCTAGCTGGAAGAGTGGCTGTGCTCTGTTTCCCCTGGAAGGGACATACCCAAACCAAAGGCACTCTTGACAGCCTCATCCTCTCTAGAGCTCTCTGCACATTGCAACTCTGCTCTCAGCTTACAGCAGTGGGCTGGGTGCTCCCACCAGCACCACTTTTGGGGAACTGGCAGGCACTCAAAGGCAACCCCAGACCCTGCCTCCCAGGAACGCTGTGCCTGACCAAGAACACCTACTCAATTTCACAGATCCATCGATTCCGAGAAGAATATTGTCACTTTTGATGTCTCTGTGAATCACAAGAATTGAATGAAGGAAGTCCAGGGCTTTCAGGCACTGAGATTAAACACAAAAACACAAGGGGAAAAATTAATTAGGCTGATTTTATCGCACAAAAAAGGAAATGGCTCTAAAACATCAAATTTCCAAGTGACACATCAATTGCAGACATATTTCAAGTGGCAAAGTGTAGAATAATAAATAAAATAAAATGAAATTAAACTATAAAAGAAAGTACAACATTATATGAGTATAATAACAGAGTACAAGAAATGCAGTGAGACTGGCAGGCCGTTCACTTGGATGCTCTTTTCTTCTCCACATCATAACAGCAACGCAGAAACAAAGCTCTGAACAGGAAATCACTCCTGTTCTTACCACCTTTTGCAAAGAACCATCCTGTCCAGGTTGTCAGAAGCAAGAACAGCATCCCTTACCTCCCGACTGATAGAGGCTATCATCTCTTCCTCAAGAGCTTGTTTGGAAACCACAGTAGATAAGGGGCATCCCTCCACATATTCCATCACTATCCAGAGTTCTTCATTGAAAAGGTAGCTGAAAGAAGAAACCCACAGCATGGAGATGAATGGGCCCAGCTAAATGACCTTATGGGAAAGACTGCAGTTGAGTTTTCTTGCCAGGTCACTTGTAAATGAAGAGAGAATCTGAGCAGGCTAAATGAGAAAGGCTCATCTGTGAAAAAGGAGATGTCTTAGATGGCAAGCAAGGCAAAAATGCAGTTTAGTGACAGCAGAGAGAAATGTGGAACCAGGACATTGCCATCAGCTGCTTCATCATCTTAACTCATCCCTTCCAGCCTGAACTCCAGGAAGCAGGCAACACAGACTTCTCCATGGGAGGAGAGTGTGCACCACTGAGGGCAGATGTTGGTCAAGCCCTTGGAAAGCATTGCATAGAGTGCATTCAGAAACAGGGAAAACCATTTAAAACCTGGCACATTGTGTGGTTGTGCAAACAAGAGCCTAGTCTTCCTGGCATCCACAGCAACAGAAAATAGAGGGAAAACCCCAAGGGCAATCATTTCTAGGAGGGTTTATCAGCACGTATCATTAAGGCAAAGAAAAGATTGTCAGTTTGAAAAAAACCAGACCCCAAAAGAACAGGGAGGTAGTGAACTGAAGGGCTGTAGCTTTAGGAAGACATGGAAGATGCAGGTTTTGGAAGACACGCTTCAAACTACCTATACCAGAAAAGACCAAGGCAGACACAAGGCAAGCTCCTCTCATCCACTTCAGTTGGAAGAGTTGAGAAATAATGAAGAGCTCCATGTTCTTCCAGTGACCAAAGTGGCTTTTTAGCCTTTGGCTTGCAGTGTGTCAATGATGTGATAATCCCAGAACCACTCACCTGTCTATATAACGAATGATATTGGGGTGCCTCATGCTACTCAAGAGTGAAACCTCATTTAAAACAAGCTCCCTTTTGTTCTTTCTGTCGCGAAGAAAAATCTTCTTGATGGCCACCTAAAAGGAGATTGAAAGCCACAGACTTGAGAAGTCTGTTGCACGGGACCACAACGCACATGGAGCAGGTGTTTTTGGAATGATGGAGCCAGGGTGGGCCAAACTGCCTGGGATTAGACACCAGAGCTTCTTAACTGACAGGACAAGAGACGATTCCTCCACTCGCCCTTGTGTGCCAGTTACAGGACACATGGCTATAGACATTTTGCCTTGTAAACTCTGGACAAACAATCAATCCATAATGGAGGAAATCCCATCCTAAAAGGTCATGAGAGTTACACAAAAAAATACAATCCCGGCACTTTCTAACATGTTGAAGTTGGATTTTGCTACTCTAAAGAACGTTTTTAACCCAGTTCCTATTTGCAGTTCTTTTCTGGGTTTGAAAAGGAATAACCCATTCTAGGGTGTTTTATGGATGTGGCCGGGGTTATGAGCAGCGCTCAGGGCCTTTAGATCCCTTGCAGACTCCTGTGTAAGTGCACTTCCCAAGTGCAGCACTGCAGCTGGGTAAGGAGCCACCAAGTAGCTGATGCATTAGCATAGTCAGTAAATAAGTCTGAGCAAAGGTGTCCTTCTCTGAAAGATACCCCTGCCCTCCTTGTGTTCTTTTGGGGACTTAGTAAGGACAAGGTCTGTCCAAACCGTGTGTTGCAGGCTGACACTTGTCTGCCTTCAGAGGAAGAGTCTCTGCAGCAAAGATCTCGTGGCCACCCAGAGCTGTGGCCACAGCTCCCAGCGGAGGGGAAAGCACTCGAGAGCTGCACAATCTGCCGGGGGTGCTGGCCCTTACCTGTCCTCCTGTGGCAATGTCAACTCCTCGGAAAACAGCTCCGAAAGCCCTAGAAACAGAACAGCAGCCAAGAAGGGAGAAGGTGTTTAGGCCCTGGGTGAGAAAGCCAGCCCAGAGAGCAGAGCTCTGCTGCCCAGAGTGTTTATAAAACACTCGGCTTCAGCCCAGCAGCCCAGCAGCCCAGCAGCCCTCTGCCATGCAGAGTGGCCAGGAGAAAACATAGGACATACTCCATGTCCTGCTCCTTGTTACAGGCAAGAGACTGCCAGCATCGAGTTGTCTTTGACAATGCCTTCTGACCACAGTTATTAAATACTGATCAGGACTGACAGACAGGAGGATGTAAGCCCAGTGTCTGCCCATGTTTGCAGCTTGCCCGACTGCATGCTTGATATGACACCAGCAAAATCCCTGGCCCATGGTTTTGTGGAAGTAGCTGAGATTGGACTTACCCTTGGCCAATTTGCTGCTTTAAAGTGTATTTCTTCGTAGGGTTCCCCTCACTCACAATGCCCTCTGAAAGAAACAACATGAAAGACGCTCATGTGAAACAGAGATACCACCTTGCAGCAGATCCGAAAGGCAGCCCCACTGTGCGGGGCTGTGAGCCCTTTGTAGTCAGCTGGTAACAACAACAACAACAACAACAACAACAATAACCACAACAGCAGAGGCAGCTCTGAAGCACAGGTGGCTGTACAAAGACTGATTTTCCACAGTCTTTTGAGGCTTTACCTTGACAGGAAACCAAGCACATGGAGGAATGCTCAGAGGAGACAGAAGTCAGAAAAGAACAGGCACCAATGCAAGAGTTTGTTGTCTACAAACTTTAAGGAGAGCTGGAGCAACAGAGCCCTTATTTTCTTGGAGAGAAACACTCCGTGTGATTCAGCCAAAAGTTTAATGTTTTTGACGATTAAATGCACTAAATTAAATGCATTAAAAACTAAATTTTGGCAATTAAATTGAGTTTTGGAATCTACTGTTATGAACAAGTGCCATTTTCAGAACAGAAAGAATATTATCAGGTGTTTACAGGAGAGGATGGAATCTGCCCAACCTTTCAGCTGTTTGCCAAAAAAAGCCTTTATGGTGTTCAAGAGCAGCATCTCAAGTTCTAATCCCTGAGGATGGGGCTTTATAAACAAGGAGCCTCATCACGGATCAGCAGGCTGAGTTCTGAAGAGGACCTTGCCTGTGCCATTTGAAGAACCACACTGCTTGTCTTCAACCTTAGAGATTTCGGCAAAGTCTCTGTACTCCAATGACTTGTGAGGAGTCAGGAGTCTAAAGAGAATTTAGGAACCCTAATATTCTCTTGGGTTTGGCCCTCTGCACACAGGAGTTCACTAGGTCATTCACTAGGTCAAAGCCTTCTGCTCAACCAGAAACCATCTCTGCCTTTGCCTGGAGCGTAGATGGAAGCTCAGGAAAACTGAATCTAGCCCCAGCTGCCCTCCGAGGCAGAAGGAACAGCCACAGTGCTCTGTTGCTTCCTCTCTTCCTTTAGTAGAACTAAAGCTGACATGCATACCATGGACTGCTGTACCAGACAGGAAATACATGATACGTACTGAGTTCAGCAAGGAGAAGTCGTGTTAGTGGGGACAGCGTTGGCAGCCGGTGCGTGATTTCCTTTGGAATCCTTTTCTTTGGAATGCTTTTCTTCCGAGTGTCGCCTTTCCCGGTGCTTGTGCTTGGCATTTCAGTGTTGGCAAAGGTGACTTCTTCAGGCTGTGGTGCTGCAGCAACAGCTGCCATTGCAGAGCTCTTGAGGATCTGTGGCAAGAATTAGTTTATGTCAGAAAGGTGGCTTGCAGAGGTGCCCCGAGATCATAGTTCAAATGCAAACCCTTGGGAAGATGCTTTTGGCCACCAGTTGGCTCTTAAACTGTCTTTTGCTGCCCACTTCACAAAGTGAATGGACGAGAAGAAAAGACTGGATTTACATGAGTTCATGGGCAGTTTCCTCTTCAGTTTTCATGCATTTTCTCAACTAGGCCATTCAGAGGGGCAACTACCCTCTAGGGCACAGTTATTCCTATGTGTCTTGCAAGGGACACTCTGACTCAACTTGGAAGTTCAAAACCCCTTTTCCAGGTGTCAGTGGCTGGGCTGAAGCACCATGTCATGGCAGGGCAACAGCCCTCACACTCTTCAGCCATGCATGGCAAGCACTGGCTGCTCAGGAACTTGCAGCTCTGAATGACACCAAAGGCAGTGCTAACCAAAGCTGGCACTTACTGATTTCATTCCTTCAGGCTTTGCTTTGACATTTTCCTTCTCTACTTGCTCTTCTTTACTCTCTTCTCCAGTAAGAGACGGAACCAGTAGAGGTTCTGGTGATGGTGTTGTGAACCTCTCTGCACGGGATTTCCTGGCTGCATCGAGCAGAGGACTCATGTTGGTGAGACTACCGGATTTTTCTAAAAATGGATGCTGCCCAAAGGAAAAAACAAAGAAAGAAAGGAGTCATTACTTTCCAAATGCAGTTTCCCACAGGCTCCAGCGGGATTCCTCTGGTTACCAGCAGTACACATCAGGAGGACTGAGGGCACCATCTACACCTCCAACTTCATGTCCAGGCCCTTGCTATCACAGGCAAACATGGCCCAAAAGGCCCTTAATCAATTTCTCAAGGTGTCTGCAGCAAGGAGGTTTGCCTTGCCAGTGCTCGGGAATGCCACTTGCTGTCTCAGGCCTTTTTCCATTTCAGAAAACTCAAAGGACTCCCTTAGGTTCCTCTTCTCTAAAGACCTGGGCTATTTTAGGTGTGAAAACTGATGAGGAGCATAAACCCCTCCTCGGGAAATTCCCCTACCTCTAAGCAAGGTCAACCCCAGGAGGATGCAGGCCTGTGTGTTGTTCTGAAGAGCACTGAGGTGGAGGTTCTCAGCACCCAGACAAGAGCAGGGACACAAGGGGCAGAGCGCTGATGGACTCAGCTCTGGCTTGCAGGGAGAGCAGTGTCTGCATTCCACCCCTGCCCCTCCCTGTGCTGGCTGCCCCCTTCCTTCCCAGCAGGGACAGCCCAGTGGCACCTTGTGCAGCTCCCTCTCTCTGCCACAAAACCTGCCAGAACCCTGGAGCGCTTCTGGCCTGCTGGAATGTGCCAGGCAGCAAATGGGGCTGGGACAAGGCCCGCTCAGCTGTCCCTCCTTGGGTGGCAGAAACCTCAAAGAGTGGGGCAGGAGGGACAGCTGTTTCACCTGCAGCCACTTTACCTTCAGCAGCTTCCTGGCTGTCCATCGACGCTTCACCTTCCGGTTCAGGCAAGTATGCAGGAAGGAATGGAACTCAGGCGACAGTTCTCTGGGACTCACCAGCTCAGGTAGCTTGTTCTGAGCCTTGGGACAAAGGAAACACAAGGCAGCCATTAACCATCCCTCCCCGAGGGGAAGAGCTCCAGCAAAGGCCAGTCCTTGCTTTCTGAGACTTGACCTGGGGCTTCTCCAGGAGCCCTGATCAACATTTGAGCTTAAGGAAGCAGAGAATTTTCAGCATCCAGACCAGTCCTGCTAATTGCCTTCATCTCTTTTTGCTGCCTTCTGCAAGGCAAATGCAATCCAAAAGAAGTCTTCCAAGAAAAGTCAGGGACCTTTTTCAGAAAGACTGGAAGACTGACATTTTCCGTAATTGTTGCCTTCCTCAGGAATTAACTGTGCAGCATTTAACTTGGTTTCAGCTGTTAGTCGTGGGGTTTTATCCCGGTATGCCTTCCTGGCCTATTGCACACTCCTTTGGTGTAAGAACGGGTCATTTCATTTTAGGGAATTAGCATCTACAACTGCAAACCTGAAAATACATTGGCTTACTCCAAGGAGCTGTGCTAGAACCTACTTTTAGAAATGTACTGGCTAATACATACTTGGGGCAGTACTAGAAGCAGTGACCTGCCCTGAAAGGCTCAGGTAAGCAGTGGGCACTGGTCCAAGTTTGAAAAGACTTCTGGCCTGCAGATCCCCTTGAAATGCTTTTCACAGTAATTCTCCAAGGGGAGAATCCTGCTGCTGAAAAATTCCTGCCATTGGGAGATCCAGCTCCAAGGGAGTTCAAAGAGCACAGGAGGAATTCAAGCATTGTTGGAGGCCCAAACGGCCCATTTCTGCACTGGCACATGTCGCTTCTCCTGTGAGCAGATGTGCTCCAGGACACTTTTAGACGTGGGCCTTGGTGGGACTAGTTCAAGCTGATGTGAGTGGGAGAAAGATATGGCTCAGGGGAGAAAGGCAGGGCTCTCTGACAGTATTTGCACCTTACCTCTGGAGAACCATCCACCATTTCTAGTGCTGTGATCCCAAGGGCCCAGATGTCCACTTTGGCATCATATCTGTCTCCTCTAAACATTTCTGGTGCCATATAGAAACGAGTCCCGTGAACTGATGTCTGTTTCCTCTGCCCACGGAGGAGCCAAACACAGGAGCCAAAACCAACTGCAAACAAAAGAAACAGTGTTGAAACCAGTTTGAATTATGAAAGCAAGCACAAGGATTCCCCACTCTCGGTCTGAGAGCACAGTGTTGAATCTAGCTGGAAGAGTGGCTGTGCTCTGTTTCCTCTGGAAGGGACATACCCAAACCAAAGGCACTCTTGACAGCCTCATCCTCTCTAGAGCTCTCTGCACATTGCAACTCTGCTCTCAGCTTACAGCAGTGGGCTGGGTGCTCCCACCAGCACCACTTTTGGGGAACTGGCAGGCACTCAAAGGCAACCCCAGACCCTGCCTCCCAGGAACGCTGTGCCTGACCAAGAACACCTACTCAATTTCACAGATCCATCCATTCCGAGAAGAATATTGTCACTTTTGATGTCTCTGTGGATCACTCGATTTGAATGAAGGAAGTCCAGTCCTTTCAGGCACTGAGATTAAACACAGAAACACAAGAGGAAAAATTAATTAGGTTGATTTTATTGCACAAAAACGGAAATGGCTCTAAAAGATCAAATTTCCAGGTGAAACATCAATTGTTGTTCCACACTGTCCCCTCCAAACCCAGGCAGTCTTGACTGCAGTGGCTGTGCTCTCTCCATCCAGGCGACACATGATGGTTTGCCAAAAAGAGAAAACATCCCTCCCTTCACTAAGAACTGGAACACTTCAGGGGTGAAGTCTGCACGAGAAAGGTTTTATTGCTGGCCTTAAACAGCAGACTCGGAAGTGGCACGTTAGTCACTTTTCAGAAGTAAACAGCTTTTTGGGTGCAAGAATATCCTTTTAAGATGGGGAATGTGAGAAATGACTCTCTACTTATCTCTGCAGTTAGGTCAAAATTCTGCCAGCAGCATGTCTGCTTTTACAGGCAAAGACTGCAGTGCAGACATGCTCCAGTTTCAAGATGCAAAGTGAGAATATTAAATTAAAAAAATGAAATTAAACTAGAAAGGAAAGTACAGCAACATTATATGAGTATAATAACAGAGTACAAGAAATGCAGTGAGACTGGCAGGCCGTTCACTTGGATGCTCTTTTCTTCTCCACATCATAACAGCAACGCAGAAACAAAGCTCTGAACAGGAAATCACTCCTGTTCTTACCACCTTTTGCAAAGAACCATCCTGTCCAAGCTGTCAGAAGCAAGAGCAGCATCCCTTACCTCCCGACTGATAGAGGCTATCATCTCTTCCTCAAGAGCTTGTTTGGAAACCACAGCAGCTAAGGTGCATCCCTCCACATATTCCATCACCAGCCAGAGTTCTTCATTGAAAAGGTAGCTGAAAGAAGAAACCCACAGCATGGAGATGAATGGGTCCAGCTAAATGACCTTATGGGAAAGACTGCAGTTGAGTTTTCTTGCCAGGTCACTTGTAAATGAAGAGAGAATCTGAGCAGGCTAAATGAGAAAGGCTCATCTGTGAAAAAGGAGATGTCCTAGATGGCAAGCAAGGCAAAAATGCAGTTTAGTGACAGCAGAGAGAAATGTGGAACCAGGACAGTGCCATCAGCTGCTTCATCATCTTAACTCATCCCTTCCAGCCTGAACTGCAGGAAGCAGGCAACACAGACTTCTCCACGGGAGGAGGGTGTGCACCACTGAGGGCAGATGTTGGTCAAGCCCTTGGAAAGCATTGCATAAAGTGCATTCAGAAACAGGGAAAACCATTTAAAACCTGGCACATTGTGTGGTTGTGCAAACAAGAGCCTAGTCTTCCTGGCATCCACAGCAACAGAAAATAGTGGGAAAACCCCAAGGGCAATAATTTCTAGGAGGGTTTATCAGCACGTATCATTAAGGCACAGAAAAGATGGTCAGTTTGAAAAAAACCAGACCCCAAAAGAACAGGGAGGTAGTGAACTGAAGGGCTGTAGCTTTAGGAAGACATGCAAGATGCAGGTTTTGGAAGACACGCTTCAAACTACCTATACCAGAAAAGGCCAAGGCAGACACAAGGCAAGCTCCTCTCATTCACTTCAGTTGGAAGAGTTGAGAAATAATGAAGAGCTCCATGTTCTTCCAGTGACCAAAGTGGCTTTTTAGCCTTTGGCTTGCAGTGTGTCAATGAACCTCGATGTGATAATCCCAGAACCACTCACCTGTCTATATAATGAATGATATTGGGGTGCCTCATTCTCTTCAGGACCGTAACTTCATTTACAACTTTTTCGCTTTGATGCTTTTGGTCTCCAAGAAAAATCTTCTTGATGGCCACCTGAAAGGAGATTGAAAGCCACAGACTTGAGAAGTCTGTTGCACGGGACCACAACGCACATGGAGCAGGTGTTTTTGGAATGATGGAGCCAGGGTGGGCCAAACTGCCTGGGATTAGACACCAGAGCTTCTTAACTGACAGGACAAGAGACGATTCCTCCACTCGCCCTTGTGTGCCAGTTACAGGACACATGGCTATAGACATTTTGCCTTGTAAACTCTGGACAAATGGTCTGCAAACAATCAATCCATAATGGAGGAAATCCCATCCTAAAAGGTCATGAGGGTTACACAAAAAAATACAGTCCCGGCACTTTCTAACATCTTGAAGTTGGATTTTGCAACTCTAAAGAACGTTTTTAACCCAGTTCCTATTTGCAGTTCTTTTCTGGGTTTGAAAAGGAATAACCCATTCTAGGGTGTTTTATGGATGTGGCCGGGGTTATGAGCAGCGCTCAGGGCCTTTAGATCCCTTGCAGACTCCTGTGTAAGTGCACTTCCCAAGTGCAGCACTGCAGCTGGGTAAGGAGCCACCAAGTAGCTGATGCATTAGCATAGTCAGTAAATAAGTCTGAGCAAAGGAGTCCTTCTCTGAAAGATACCCCTGCCCTCCTTGTGTTCTTTTGGGGACTTAATAAGGACAAGGTCTGTCCAAACCGTGTGTTGCAGGCTGACACTTGTCTGCCCTCAGAGGAAGAGTCTCTGCAGCAAAGATCTCGTGGCCACCCAGATCTGCGGCCACAGCTCCCAGCAGAGGGGAAAGCACTCGAGAGCTGCACAATCTGCCGGGGGTGCTGGCCCTTACCTGTCCTCCTGTGGCAATGTCAACTCCTCGGAAAACTGTTCCAAAAGTCCTAGAAACAGAGCAGCAGCCAAGGAAGGAGAAGTCGTTTAGGCCCTGGGTGAGAAAGCCAGCCCAGAGAGCAGAGCTCTGCTGCCCAGAGTGTTTATAAAACACTCGGCTTCAGCCAGCAGCCCAGCAGCCCAGCAGCCCTCTGCCATGCAGGGTGGCCAGGAGAAAACATAGGACATACTCCATGTCCTGCTCCTTGTTACAGGCAAGAGACTGCCAGCATTGAGTTGTCTTTGACAATGCCTTCTGACCACAGTTATTAAATACTGATCAGGACTGACAGACAGGAGGATGTAAGCCCAGTGTCTGCCCATGTTTGCAGCTTGCCCGACTGCATGCTTGATAGGACACCAGCAAAATCCCTGGCCCATGGTTTTGTGGAAGTAGCTGAGATTGGACTTACCCTTGGCCAATTTGCTGCTGTACAGTGTATTTCTTCGCAGGGTTCTCCTCACTCACAATGCCCTCTGAAAGAAACCACATGAAAGATGCTCGTGTGAAACAGAGATACCACCTTCCAGCAGATCCGAAAGGCAGCCCCACTGTGCGGGGCTGTGAGCCCTTTGTAATCAGCTGGTAACAACAATCACAAGAGCAACAGAGGCAGCTCTGAAGCACAGGTGGCTCGACAAACACTCTGTTCCTTTAGTACAGCTAAAGTTGACATGCATACCATGGACTGCTCTGCCAGAAGTGAAATACATGATACGTACTGAGATCGGCGAGGTAAATACTTGTTAGTGAGGATATCAGTTGTGGCTGGTCTGAGCTTTTTCTCCCTGTGCTGGTTTCCCCAGAGCTTTTCTTCCCAGTCCTTGTTTTCTGTGTGCATTTTTTCCCAGTGCCTCTTTTGCCAGTGCTTGTGCTTGGCATTTCAGTGTCGGGCAAGGACACTTCTTCAGGCTGTGGTTCTGCAGCAACACCTGCCATTGCAGAACTCTTGAGGATCTGTGGCAAGAATTAGTTTCTGTCAGAAAGGTGGCTTGCAGAGATGTCCTGAGATCATAGTTCAAATGCAAACCTTTGGGAAGAAGCTTTTGGCCACAAGTTGGGCTCTTAAACTGTCTCTTGCTGCCCACTTCACCAAGTGAATGGATGAGAAGAAAAGACTGGATTTACACGAGTTCATGGGCAGTTTCCTCTTCAATTTTCATGCATTTTCTGAACAAGGCTATTCAGACGGGCAACTACCCTCTAGGGCACAGTTATTGCTGTGTGTCCTGCAAGTGACACTCTGACTCAACTTGGAAGTTCAAAACCTCTTTTCCAGGTGTCAGTGGCTGGGCTGAAGCACGATGTCATGGCAAGGCTAGAGCCCTTACAATCTTCAGCCATGAAAAGCAAGCTCACTCTGAACACAAGTTCTAAATTACACCAAGGCAGTGCTAATATACTCTGGCACTTACTGATTTAATTTCTTCAGGCTCTGTGGCTCCAACAACAGCCACGGGTTCATTGTCCACTTGCTCTTCTTTCCCCTCTTGTCCAGAAACAGAGGGAGCCAGCAGAGGTTCTGGTGCCGCTGTTCTGGGTCTCCTGACTGCATCAATCAGAGGAGCCATCTTGGCAAGAATCTTGGATTTTTTTAAAAACCGATGCTGCACCGAAAAACCAAAGAAGAACAAAAGGAGCCATTACTTTCCAAATGCAGTTTCTCACAGGCTCCAGTGGGATTCCTCTGGTTACCAGCAATACACATCAGGAGGACGTATCTATCTAGACCTCCATCTTTCCTCTGAGGAAAGGCCAAGAGGGATGGCACTGGAGAAGAGAAGGTGCCATGGAGAGCTTATTGTGGCCTTTCAGTCCTTCAAGGGGACACATGTTTTCAAAGGGCGTGGTTGCAATGGGACAAAGGGTCATGATTTTCAAGTGGAAGAGGATAGATTCTGGTTACATTTAAGGAAGTCATTGTTTAGAATGAGGGTGCTGAAACACTGGCACAGGAAGTGGATACCCCATCCCTGGTCAGGTGGGACAGGGCTCTGAGCAACCCGGTCTAGTTGAAGATGTCCCTGCTTGTTGCAGGAGGGTTGGACTAGATGCCACTTAAAGGACCCTTCCAAGCCAAACTAGTCTAGGATGCTACTTAGTTGTCATTTGAAAAGCAACAAGACTGGAGAGTAGGAGGTGAGGAGGCCTCCTGATGCCTCTGAGTTTAGCTGATGACAAAGCCCATCCCTGGACAGCTGTTTCACCTGCAGCCACTTTACCTTCAGCAGCTGCCTGGTAGGCCATCGGGGCCTCACATTCCAGTTCAGGCAGGACTGCAGGAAGGAACGGAACACAGGAGGGGGATTTCTGGGAGTCTCCAGCTGGGGTGGCACGTCCTTAGGCTTGGGACAAAGGAAACACAAGACAGCCATTAACCATCCCTCCCCGAGGGAAAGAGCTCCAGCACAGGCCAGTCCTTGCTTTCTGAGAGTTGACCTGGGGCTTCTCCAGGAGCCCTGATCAACATTAGGACAAAACAAATATTGTTAAAACAATAGGAACTTGCAGCGCTGAATGACACCAAAGGCAGTGCGTACCAAAGCTTCCATTCCTTCAGGCATTACTTCTCCAACAGCCACAGGTTCCTTCTCCACTTCTTCCTCTTCATTTTCCTGTCCAGAGTCAGAGGGAGCCAGCAGAGGTTGTGTTGCCACTGTTGTGTCCTGGGGACAGTCAGTAGAGTCAGGGACAGTCACCATTCTGTCCTTTGCAAAGTTGGATAGTTACACATAATAACAAAATGGTCATTTGACACAAGGCCAATCTCTTGTTCATTGTTCATGGATTTTCTGAAATAGGCCCTGTGGAGGGGCAGGTACATCCAGGGGACAGCTTCTCCTGTCTCCTAAGAATCCTGCACGGCAATCTAAAGACTAAACAGGAAGGGTCAAAATCCCCTTTTCCAGGTGTCAGTGGCTGGGCTGAAGCAACATGTCATGGCAGGGCTCCAGCCCTCACAATGTTCAGCCATGAAAAGCAAGCTTGCTCTCATCACAAGTTCTAAATTACACCAAAGACAATACTACTGTACTCTGGCACTTACTGATTTAATTTCTTCAGGCTCTGCGGCTCCAACAACAGCCACAGGTTCATTGTCCACTTCCTCTTCTTCACCCTCTTGTCCAGAAAGAGAGGGAGCCAGCAGAGGTTCTGGTGTTGGGTTTGTGCCCTGGGGACAGTCAGTAGAGTCAGGGACAGTCACCATTCTGTCCCTTGCAAGGTTGGATAGTTACACACAATAACAAAAGGGTCATTTCACACAAGGCCACTTTCTTGTTCAATTTACATAGATTTTCTGAGCAAGGCTGTTCAGAGGGGCAGGTAGTCCAGGGCACAGTTATTGCTATGCCTCCTGCAAGGGACACTCAGACTCAACTTGGAAGTTCAAAACCCCTTTTCCAGGTGTCAGTGGCTGGGCTGAAGCACCATGTCATGGCAGGGCTCCAGCCCTCACACTCTTCAGTCCCAAAGAGCAAGTGCTGTGTGCTCAGGAACTTGCAGCTCTGAATGACACCAAAGGCAGTGCTAATGTACTCTGGTACTTACTGATTTCATTCCCAGTCCAGTTGAAGATGTCCCTGCTCACTGCAGGGGGGTTGGACTAGATGCCACTTAAAGGACCCTTCCAAGCCAAACTATTCTAGGATGCTACTTAGTTGTCATTTGAAAAGCACCAAGAGTGGAGATTAGTAGGAGAGGAGGCTTCCTGATGCCTCTGAGTTTAGCTGATGACAAAGCCCATCCCTGGACAGCTGTTTCACCTGCAGCCACTTTGTCTGCAGAAGCAGCCTGGTAGGCCATCGGGGCCTCACATTCCCGTACAGGCAAGACTGCAGGTAGGAACGGAACACAGGAGGCGGATTTCTGGGAGTCCCCAGCTCGGGTGGCACGTCCTTAGGCTTGGGACAAAGGAAACACAAGACAGCCATTAACCATCCCTCCCCGAGGGGAAGAGCTCCAGCACAGGCCAGTCCTTGCTTTCTGAGAGTTGACCTGGGGCTTCTCCAGGAGCCCTGATCAACATTAGGACAAAGCAAATATTGTTAAAACAATAGGAACTTGCAGCTCTGAATGACACCAAAGGCAGTGCGTACCAAAGCTTCCATTCCTTCAGGCATTACTTCTCCAACAGCCACAGGTTCCTTCTCCACTTCTTCCTCTTCATCCTCCTGTCCAGAGTCAGAAGGAGCCAGGAGAGGTTCTGGTGTCGCTGTTGTGTCCTGGGGACAGTCAGTAGAGAGAGGGACAGTCACCATTCTGTCCCTTGCAAGGTTGGATAGTTTCACACCACCTTAATCTGCTTACACATTAGAAACCAGCCTAGACATGCACTTGGTCCTACAGGCCTCAGTTCTACAGTGCATATGTCCCAGGACAATTTAACTCTCCAGCAAATTAGGGGAGTTGAAATCCCTCCACAGTCCCAGCTGCCTCTCAGTGGCAGGGCATTACATCCCATTGTCCCAAATTTGCTCTCTTTACCAACTAGTTAGACAGTGCTGCATCTTGCTCTGACTTAGATATCCCACCATGGCTAAAAGCAGCAAACAATCTTCTGCCTGCAAACCCAGACCTTCCTCTGTTTAAAAGCTCTTGAACAGAAAATGAGAAAACAGCCAGGGATGCCTTGGCTGCTGCTGCTGCTGCTGCAAAGGCACTGACATGGACTTTCTTTCATGGACTTGCTTTCAGCCTCTCAGGCTGGCACTTTGTTGTAGCAGGCCAAGCTCACAGCTCGCTCCATGATTCCTAAAAACTAGGAACGTCAAAGCTTCCTTTTCCACTCACAGAAGGACGGGCTGCTCTCTGTCCATCTCCATATCCACTGGTGATTCCGTCTGCAATGGGCAAGGCAAAATGAAGCAGACGCTGTCAGAAAAGTGCCTCTTGTGGGGAATCCCATCACACAAGGCAACCCAAATAAAGAGCATTTTTCTTTCACAACATCTCCCCAGGAGCAACACTTCTTTTGCACAGCAAGCAAGAGAAGAGGACAAAACCCCATATTCATCTTCTTCTACAGTTTCCTGTCTATTTTTTATGCTGTTTTCCCAGGAAATAAAACAAATAGAAACTCCATCAAGCAAATGTAAATTGTCCATTAACAGTCAATGCTTCTGTTCTGCCCAAGAGCTAAAGCAGCTTTAGCTGAAGAGATAAAGAAGTTTCCTCTTCTTTTTTTTTTCTTTTTCTGTTCTGTTGGTTTTTGGTTTTTCTTTTAATAAATGGCAAGCATCAGTTCTCTTTAGCTTGCTGAAAATAGTTCTCCAGAAAAACAGACTCCACAGGCTATCCAGTGGAGGGCACAGAACCCCCTCAAGTTCCATTCCAAATGCTGTCCACACACAGACCCCCCCTTTTCAGACAAAGCTGTTGACAGGAGTTCTACCAAACTAAGGGCATCTTAAGGGCAGTTTTGTTTCTAAATCATCTCAGTGCCTAAGGAAGAGCATAAAGAACACAGCCATGCCAAAGCCAGGTATGCTGCCCCCAGGAACAAACACTACTCACCTCTCGGGAAATCCATCACCTGGCGGGGCCTGTCGGGAGAAAAATATAAATTTGTTGAAAAGAGCACAAACTCATGAACTGCAGCACAGATTTGCCAAAACACTTCAGCAAAGCTGTGCTGCAGTCCAAGGGGCACAGCCCCTTGGGGGAGGGAAAAGAAAACCGCTCTCTAGTTTGTAGGCTCTCCACTGAGAGCTCCTCGATCCGAAAACTCCTCTGGGATGCCCGTTCACAAGCTCTCCGCTGAGAAATCCTCAATCCGAAGACTCCTCTGCGACGAGCATGCGACGAACTGCACCGCAAGCCGATTTCCTTGGTGCCTGACTGAGAGCGTTCCACGGACACTGCAATGGCCACCCAGCACTTCAGTGACATCACAGCGACAGTGGGGCAACAGTCCTGTGACATCACGGAAACAGCCGTTCAAGGTTCCCCACGCTGCAATGGTTTTGGGTGGCTTCTTGACCCCTGGAATGTTGAATCTTGCTCTCCTGTTGGAGCCTGACCTCCCTTTCTTGCAGTGACTTGTCAGCTTACCTCCTGATGTAAAGCTCACCTTTCTGCCTAAAACTCGTCTGGAAATCAACTCTGCTCTTCCATGGAATAATGGAATAATAAGTTTTGAATCCGTGTCTGTGTGGAGGCTCTTGGCTGGTCACCCACAGCCCACAGCGCTGTGAATAAAGTGACGCCTTGCTTTTTAACACTAGCAATGCAGGGTTTGAGGGTTCTGTCATCCTGAGGATTTCAGAGGTATTTGACAACAGTAGCTGACTCCAGGAAGAGTGAGATTCCTCCCCGGCAGCCCTCATGGCTCAGCCCTCGCTGTACCAAGCTGGGCTTCTCCCCTTTTACCGTGGAGAGGCTTGGAGGGCATTCAGAACAGCTGTGATTGCCTGACATGGACAGCATTTGTTGTGAATCCCTCAGGGACACGTCCGTGTTCCACACGTGGCAGGGAGCCCTTGGAGCAGCTGTCAGAGTGGGGGTGCCCCCGTGGGTGCTTCCTGCCCCTTCTCCCCCCTTTGGCCACTTCTCCCATAGCCACTCAAGTCAGACTTTCTCCCAAGAAAGTTCTCTGCCCAGCACTGAGCTCCTGGTGCACCTGCAAAAACCAAATTCCCTTAGGCTTGTGGGAAACCTACAGGGTCGGAACCCTCAGTGGACATGGAGCTCTTAAATCCTTCTCCTATCCAACTTCTGTGTGCGTGTAGGATTTTCTGGGGCCCTGACTAGCCTTTCTGTCTGCTACAGTGGAATATCAGGGCGACGGAGCAGCGGGGGTGTGTGAGGGGGTCTCTCTGTTTGCTGCCTGCTGAGGGGAAGGTGCTGAGAGACTGCGCATGCTCCGAGAGCGAGGTGAACCGTTCGGTGGGAGGCAGACTCGAAGCCTTCATCCCCTACGGCCACCCGAGAGAAGTGGGCAGGCGCCAGAAGGCGTGTGCCGAGATTTCCATAGACCAGCGCCCACTCTGGGGTAGTTCCTGAATATGTAAAACCGTGCGATGGATATGGATGACCTACGGGGAGAAAACGGGAGCCGGGAGGGGGGAGCGCTCGCGCGTGTCAGGCGGAGTCATCCCCGCGCGTCCGGCAGCGTAATAAACAACTAGCGGCTTCATAGCGCCTGTGGCTCTTGAGTTTTACTACCGTCGCCTTTTCCCGGCATCCCCGAGGCCTCAGCTGAGATGGGGTGACCCCCAGGCTGAAGGAAAAGCCGCTGCGGGCTGAAGCAGCGGGGCACAAGGGCTGAGATGAGAATGGCTCTGGGCTTAGACAAAACCGGCTGCAGCTGAGGCGGGGGGGGCCCAGTTATGAGGCAGAAAGGGCTGCGGGCTGAGGGAAAAATGGCTGCGGGCTGAGGGGAAAATTGGTCCGGGCTGAGGCAAAAACGACTGTGATCTGAAGGAAAAATGGCTGAGGGTTGAGGGAAAAATTGGTGCGGGCTGAGGGGGAAACACCTGAGGGCTGAGGCAAAAACAGTTGCCGATGAGGCGGGGCGGCCCCAGACTGAGGCAGCAGCGGCGCCGGTTCTCAGCCTGGGCGATGGGGTGGGGCGGGGGGAAGAGGCCAGGCACTGAGCACAGTGGCGAGGAGTCTCCCTACAGCTCCCCGGCCCCACGCCGTCCCGCTCCCAACTTGAAGGAAGCCCCAGTCCCGTCCCGTCCCGTCCCCTCCCCCCCACCTTTTCGTTTTTCCTTTAATTTTTTCCTGTTCCCACACAAATACATATCTATATATATGTGTATATATATATGTATATACACTATAGGTACACACTATTTACACAGTCTCTCTCTCTCTATATACACACACACAAGTATGTACATTATCTATATATAAGGGAGCATTATATAAGGGGCTACAGTGCAGGAGAGTTATGGGGTGTCGTGCAAATGCCCTATGGAGTGCAGAGTACAGGCCAAGCAGAATGTCTGTACATCTGCATTTATTATTTCTTGGAAGTAGTTGGAACAGACAGGGTTTGCCCATCAGAAGGAGCTGAGTTCCCAAGCTGGGAACACAACTGGCTGTGCTGATTTACAAGGCTTCTGGCTTCCCCAGTGAATCCCAGGTGAAGCCAGGCTGCCTGTTCCCCGCATGATAGCCAAGGCTGGGCAGGGACGATGCCCCCTCGCTGTGGGCTCCAGCTCCTAACAGAGCTGAGCAGTATTTTTTAACAACTTGTGGGAAAAACAGGGTTTTTTGGAGGGTGCTGCATTTATGTACATACTCAGGCCACCTTCAGCAGAGAGTCCCTCGGAAATGAAAACGGGGGAAATGGGTGAGAAATGTTTCATTTCGGCCTTTCATAACTTCAAAAGGTTTACAAACACATATTCAGGGACTCCTGCCTCCGCCTGCCCCGCTGGCAGCCGCGAGAGGGCGATCTGTATCCATTCACCCACCCATCCTTCCATCCGTCCAGGTAAAACCATGGCCAGGTACCGACGCAACACACACACCGATAAATACAGGGTATCGTTTACAGAAGAGATCATACATTATCCTATACACGATATTATACCTCTCTCTACAGTGTGTAGCACCTATAGAAGGGCCTTCGAATGTCTATAAAAATACATATTTATATACATATACTACAGATACACACAATATTTATTTACACAAACGCTATATATATACACTACATATATACACACTATATACACAGTCTCTCTATATACAAACACATATATACATTATCTATATACAATGGTAATAACTCTACAGTACATTGTGTAGATACACACAATATATATTTACACAAACGCTGTACATATATACATATATACATATATATACACTACATATACCCTGCCTCCCAGGAACACTGTGCCCAGGAACGCCTACTCAATTTCACAGATCCATCGATTCCCAGAAGAATATTGTCACTTTTGATGTCTCTGTGAATCACTCGATTTGAATGAAGGAAGTCCAGTCCTTTCAGGCACTGAGATTAAACACAGAAACACAAGGGGAAAATTAATTAGGCTGATTTTATCCCACAAAAAAGGAAATAGCTCTTAAAAGATCAAATTTCCAGGTGACACATCAATTGCAGACATACTTCAAGTGGCAAAGTGTAGAATAATAAATAAAATAAAATGAAATTAAACTAGAAAGGAAAGTACAACAACATTATATGAGTATAATAACAGAGTACAAGAAATGCAGTGAGACTGGCAGGCCGTTCACTTGGATGCTCTTTTCTTCTCCACATCATAACAGCAACGCAGAAACAAAGCTCTGAACAGGAAATCACTCCTGTTCTTACCACCTTTTGCAAAGAACCATCCTGTCCAAGCTGTCAGAAGCAAGAGCAGCATCCCTTACCTCCCGACTGATAGAGGCTATCATCTCTTCCTCAAGAGCTTGTATGGAAACCACAGCAGCTAAGGTGCATCCCTCCACATATTCCGTCACCAGCCAGTTCTTCATTGAAAAGGTAGCTGAAAGAAGAAACCCACAGCATGGAGATGAATGGGCCCAGCTAAATGACCTTATGGGAAAGACTGCAGTTGAGTTTTCTTGCCAGGTCACTTGTAAATGAAGAGAGAATCTGAGCAGGCTAAATGAGAAAGGCTCATCTGTGAAAAAGGAGATGTCTTAGATGGCAAGCAAGGCAAAAATGCAGTTTAGTGACAGCAGAGAGAAATGTGGAACCAGGACAGTGCCATCAGCTGCTTCATCATCTTAACTCATCCCTTCCAGCCTGAACTGCAGGAAGCAGGCAACACAGACTTCTCCACGGGAGGAGGGTGTGCACCACTGAGGGCAGATGTTGGTCAAGCCCTTGGAAAGCATTGCATAGAGTGCATTCAGAAACAGGGAAAACCGTTTAAAACCTGGCACATTGTGTGGTTGTGCAAACAAGAGCCTAGTCTTCCTGGCATCCACAGCAACAGAAAGTAGAGGGAAAACCCCAAGGGCAATCATTTCTAGGTGGGTTAATCAGCATGTATCATTAAGGCACAGAAAAGATGATCAGTTTGAAAAAACCAGACCCCAAAAGAACAGGGAGGTAGTGAACTGAAGGGCTGTGGCTTTAGGAAGACATGGCAGATGCAAGTTTTGGAAGACACGCTTCAAACTACCTATACCAGAAAAGGCCAAGGCAGACACAAGGCAAGCTCCTCCCTGAAGGAGCTAAGAGACCTGTGCCCTGCACCTCCCGTCCACTGCAGGTGGAGGAGTTGAGAAATAATGAAGAGCTCCATGTTCTTCCAGTGACCAAAGTGGCTTTTTAGCCTTTGGCTTGCAGTGTGTCAATGATGTGATAATCCCAGAACCACTCACCTGTCTATATAGCGAATGATATTGGGGTGCCTCATGCTACTCAGGAGTGAAACCTCAGTTACAACAAGCTCCCTTTTGTTCTTTCTGTCGCGGAGAAAAATCTTCTTGATGGCCACCTAAAAGGAGATTAAAAGCCACAGACTTGAGAAGTCTGTTGCACGGGACCACAACGCACATGGAGCAGGTGTTTTTGGAATGATGGAGCCAGGGTGGGCCAAACTGCCTGGGATTAGACACCAGAGCTTCTTCACTGACAGGACAAGAGACGATTCCTCCAGTCGCCCTTGTGTGCCAGTTACAGGACACATGGCTATAGACATTTTGCCTTGTAAACTCTGGACAAATGGTCTGCAAACAATCAATCCATAATGGAGGAAATCCCATCCTAAAAGGTCATGAGGGTTACACAAAAAAATACAGCCCCGGCACTTTCTAACATCTTGAAGTTGGATTTTGCAACTCTAAAGAACGTTTTTAACCCAGTTCCTATTTGCAGTTCTTTTCTGGCTTTGAAAAGGAATAACCCATTCTAGGGTGTTTTATGGATGTGGCCGGGGTTATGAGCAGCGCTCAGGGCCTTTAGATCCCTTGCAGACTCCTGTGTAAGTGCACTTCCCAAGTGCAGCACTGCAGCTGGGTAAGGAGCCACCAAGTAGCTGATGCATTAGCATAGTCAGTAAATAAGTCTGAGCAAAGGTGTCCTTCTCTGAAAGATACCCCTGCCCTCCTTGCGTTCTTTTGGGGACTTAGTAAGGACAAGGTCTGTCCAAACCGTGTGTTGCAGGCTGACGCTTGTCTGCCCTCAGAGGAAGAGTCTCTGCAGCAAAGATCTCGTGGCCACCCAGAGCTGTGGCCACAGCTCCCAGCGGAGGGGAAAGCACTCGAGAGCTGCACAATCTGCCGGGGGTGCTGGCCTTTACCTGTCCTCCTGTGGCAATGTCAACTCCTCGGAAAACAGCTCCGAAAGCCCTAGAAACAGAGCAGCAGCCAAGAAGGGAGAAGGTGTTTAGGCCCTGGGTGAGAAAGCCAGCCCAGAGAGCAGAGCTCTGCTGCCCAGAGTGTTTATAAAACACTCGGCTTCAGCCCAGCAGCCCAGCAGCCCAGCAGCCCTCTGCCATGCAGGGTGGCCAGGAGAAAACATAGGACATACTCCATGTCCTGCTCCTTGTTACAGGCAAGAGACTGCCAGCATTGAGTTGTCTTTGACAATGCCTTCTGACCACAGTTATTAAATACTGATCAGGACTGACAGACAGGAGGATGTAAGCCCAGTGTCTGCCCATGTTTGCAGCTTGCCCGACTGCATGCTTGATAGGACACCAGCAAAATCCCTGGCCCATGGTTTTGTGGAAGTAGCTGAGATTGGACTTACCCTTGGCCAATTTGCTGCTGTACAGTGTATTTCTTCGCAGGGTTCCCCTCACTCACAATGCCCTCTGAAAGAAACAACATGAAAGACGCTCGTGTGAAAGAGAGATACCACCTTCCAGCAGATCCAAAAGGCTGAGATGGGGTGACCCCCAGGCTGAAGTAAAAGCCGCTGCGGGCTGAAGCAGCGGGGCAGAAAGGGCTGAGATGAGAATGGCTCTGGGCTTAGACAAAACCGGCTGCAGCTGAGGCGGGGGGGGGGCCCAGTTACGAGGCAGAAAGGGCTGTGGGCTGAGGCAAAATCGGCTGCGGGCTGAGGGAAAAATGGCTGCGGGTTGAGGGGAAAATTGGTGCGGGCTGAGGGGAAAACACCTGAGGGCTGAGGCAAAAACAGTTGCCGATGAGGCGGGGCGGCCCCCGACTGAGGCAGCAGCGGCGCCGGTTCTCAGCCTGGGCGATGGGGTGGGGCGGGGGGAAGAGGCCAGGCACTGAGCACAGTGGCGAGGAGTCTCCCTACAGCTCCCCGGCCCCACGCCGTCCCGCTCCCAACTTGAAGGAAGCCCCAGTTCCGCCCCCCCTCCCCCCCCCATCTTTCTGTTTTTCCTTTAATTTTTTCCTTCCCCAATTGCAAGCCATACCAAAACCCCCATCAATGGGACTTCCCAGCTATGAATAACAACAAAAGTTAATTTCATAATGAAGTAGCTGCAAAGATCAGAGTAGATACTTGCCACCGCCCGGTGGGGAAGGAATTAGGGACGCGACACTGCACAGAAGGGTCCGACAACATAGAATGAGGGCATGCAATGGCTACTTTATTAAAAGGAACGAGGATTTATGTAGGGTTCACGTGAGGGAGGTCCGATAACCGGGGCGGAGCATGGGACGGACATCTCAGGGTGCCACAGGATTGGGGAGTAGGGAGAAGGAGGGAGGAACTTGGGAGGAGTCAGGTATCTGGGGCCAATGGGAGCTCACTCCGCACTGCGGCATTTTCTGGCCAATCAGTGTGGGATGAGCGGGAAGGCAGGGGAGAGTAAGGGAGAAAACAACTTTTGGTGGGAAATAACTGGGGACAAGTTCAGACGTGTCTGGGGTAGTACAAATCAAGGGGATTGATAGAGAGATATATGTGTGGGTACATTAAACTGGGTTCAGAACTGGGGTAAAAACATGGAAGTCCATAAGTTGGTGTTTTCCTCAAGAACCATTCAGGTCTCTGCAAGCTTAGAAATGCTGCCATTCTGTTTCTTGTTCCTCCACACATACGTTGGCTGTTTTCCAAGTCCTTCTTGACTCTGCCTCCTTTGCGAGTGGAGGAATTTCAGTGTCGGGAAAGGTGACTTCTTCAGACTGTGGTGCTACAGCAGCGCCTGCCATTGCAGAGCTCTTGAGGATCTGTGGCAAGAATTAGTTTATGTCAGAAAGGTGGCTTGCAGAGATGTCCTGAGATCATAGTTCAGAGGCAAACCCTTGGGAAGATGCTGTTGGCCACAAGTCAGGCTCTTAAACTGTCTTTTGCTGGCCACTTCACAAAGTGAATGGACGAGAAGAAAAGACTGGATTTACACGAGTTCATGGGCAGTTTCCTCTTCAATTTTCATGCATTTTCTCAACTAGGCCGTTCAGAGGGGACACTACCCTCTGGACACAGTTATTGCTGTGTGTCCTGCAAGTAACACTCTGGCTCAACTTGGAAGTTCAAAACCTCTTTTCCAGGTGTCAGCAGATGGGCTGAAGCACCATGTCATGGCAGGGCTCCAGCCCTCACACTCTTCAGCCATGCATGGCAAGCACTGTCTGCTCAGGAACTTGCAGCTCTGAATGACACCAAAGGCAGTGCTAACCAAAGCTGGCACTTACTGATTTCATTCCTTCAGGCATGACTTTTCCAACAGCCACAGGTTCCTTCTCCACTTCTTTCTCTTCCACCTCCTGTCCAGAATCAGAGGGGGCCAGAAGAGGTTCTGGTGCTGCTGTTGTGTCCTGGAGACAGTCAGTAGAGTCAGGGCCAGTCAGCATTCTGTCCCTTGCAAGGTTGGATAGTTACACACAATAACAAAAGGGTCATTTCACACAAGGCCAATTTCTTGTTCATTTTTCATGGATTTCTGAAAGAGGCCCTGTGGAGGGGCAGGTACATCCAGGGGACAGTTTCTGCTGTCTCCTAGGAATCCTGCACGGCAATCTAAAGACTAAACACAAGAGGGGTCAAAACTCCTTTTCCAGGTGTCAGTGGCTGGGCTGAAGCACCATGTCATGGCAGCACTCCAGCCCTCACACTCTTCAGCCATGAAAAGCAAGCTTGCTCTCATCACAAGTTCTAAATTACACCAAAGGCAATGCTACTGTACTCTGGCACTTACTGATTTAATTTCTTCAGGCTCTGCGGCTCCAACAACAGCCACGGGTTCATTGTCCACTTCCTCCTCTTTAACCTCTTGTCCAGAATGAGAGGGAGCCAACGCAGGTTCTGGTGTCACATTTGTGCCCTGGGGACAGTCAGTAGAGTCAGGGACAGTCACCATTCTGTCCCTTGCAAGGTTGGATAGTTACACACAATAACAAAAGGGTCATTTCACACAAGGCCACTTTCCTGTTCAGTTTGCATAGATTTTCTCAGCTAGATTGTGCAGACAAGCAGGTAACCCCAGGGCACATTTATTGCTATGTGTCCTGCAAGGGACACTCTGGCTCAACTTGCAAGTTCAAACCCCCTCTAAGCAAGGTCAACCCCAGGAGGATGCAGGCCTGTGTGTTGTTCTGAAGAGCACTGAGGTGGAGGTTCTCAGCACCCAGACAAGAGCAGGGACACAAGGGGCATAGTGCTGATGGACTCAGCTCTGGCTTGCAAGGAGAGCAGTGTCTGCATTCCACCCCTGCCACCTTCCTTCTCAGCAGGGACAGCCCAGTGGCACCTTGTGCAGCTCCCTCTCTCTGCCACAAAACCTGCCAGAACCCTGGAGCACTTCTGGCCTGCTTGAATGTGCCAGGCAGCAAATGGGGCTGGGACAAGGCCCGCTCAGCTGTCCCTCCTTGGGTGGCAGAAACCTCAAAGAGTGGGGCAGGAGGGACAAGCTGGGCCCCCTCTGAGGCTCGCAGTGAGCTCCCCACAGCCCCTTCCTTCTCCCAGGCCATTAATACTCTGACCACTTGGCTGGGACTGCTTCCTTGGGTCCCCCTCCACCAACACCATTTCAGCCTCTGGACCTGCTCTTATTCTACTCCCACTCTTTTGCCACCAGGTACAACCAAGTGTCCTCCCAAAGTACAAGCCAGGGCCACAGACAGGACCAGATGGTGGAAGACCTTTCCTTGGAGGAAAGGCTCTGAGCAACCTGGTCTAGTTGAAGATGTCCCTGCTCGTATCAGGAGGGTTGGACTAGATGCCACTTAAAGGACCCTTCCAAGCCAAACTATTCTAGGATGCTACTTAGTTGTCATTTGAAAAGCACCAAGAGTGGAGATTAGTAGGAGAGGAGGCCTCCTGATGCCTCTGAGTTTAGCTGATGACAAAGCCCATCCCTGGACAGCTGTTTCACCTGCAGCCACTTTGTCTGCAGAAGCAGCCTGGTAGGCCATCGGGGCCTCACATTCTCTTACAGGCAAGACTGCAGGAAGGATCGGAACACAGGAGGCGGATTTCTGGGATTCTCCAGCTCGGGTGGCACGTCCTTAGGCTTGGGACAAAGGAAACACAAGACAGCCATTAACCATCCCTACCCAAGGAGAAAGAGCTCCAGCAGAGGCCAGTCCTTGCTTTCTGAGAGCTGACCTGGGGCTTCTCCAGGAGCCCTGATCAACATTAGGACAAAGCAAATACTGTTAACACATTAGGAACTTGCAGCTCTGAATGACACCAAAGGCAGTGCTAACCAAAGCTTTCATTCCTTCAGGCATTACGTCTCCAACAGCCACAGGTTCCTTCTCCACTTCTTCCTTCTTCAACAGCCACAGGTTCCTTCTCCACTTCTTCCTCTTCATTCTACTGTCCAGAGTCAGAGGACCCGAGAGGACCACCCGAGAGAAGTGGGCAGGTGCCAGAAGGCGTGTGCCGAGATTTCCATAGACCAGCGCCCACTCTGGGGTAGTTCCTGAATATGTAAAACCGTGCGATGGATATGGATGACCTACGGGGAGAAAACGGGAGCCGGGAGGGGTCGCGCGTGTCAGGCGGAGTCATCCCCGCGCGTCCGGCAGCGTAATAAACAACTAGCGGCTTCATAGCGCCTGTGGCTCTTGAGTTTTACTACCGTCGCCTTTTCCGGGCATCCCCGAGGCCTCAGCTGAGATGGGGTGACCCCCAGGCTGAAGGAAAAGCCGCTGCGGGCTGAAGCAGCGGGGCACAAGGGCTGAGATGAGAATGGCTCTGGGCTTAGACAAAACCGGCTGCAGCTGAGGCGGGGGGGGCCCAGTTATGAGGCAGAAAGGGCTGCGGGCTGAGGGAAAAATGGCTGCGGGCTGAGGGGAAAATTGGTCCGGGCTGAGGCAAAAACGACTGTGATCTGAAGGAAAAATGGCTGAGGGTTGAGGGAAAAATTGGTGCGGGCTGAGGGGGAAACACCTGAGGGCTGAGGCAAAAACAGTTGCCGATGAGGCGGGGCGGCCCCAGACTGAGGCAGCAGCGGCGCCGGTTCTCAGCCTGGGCGATGGGGTGGGGCGGGGGGAAGAGGCCAGGCACTGAGCACAGTGGCGAGGAGTCTCCCTACAGCTCCCCGGCCCCACGCCGTCCCGCTCCCAACTTGAAGGAAGCCCCAGTCCCGTCCCGTCCCGTCCCCTCCCCCCCACCTTTTCGTTTTTCCTTTAATTTTTTCCTGTTCCCACACAAATACATATCTATATATATGTGTATATATATATGTATATACACTATAGGTACACACTATTTACACAGTCTCTCTCTCTCTATATACACACACACAAGTATGTACATTATCTATATATAAGGGAGCATTATATAAGGGGCTACAGTGCAGGAGAGTTATGGGGTGTCGTGCAAATGCCCTATGGAGTGCAGAGTACAGGCCAAGCAGAATGTCTGTACATCTGCATTTATTATTTCTTGGAAGTAGTTGGAACAGACAGGGTTTGCCCATCAGAAGGAGCTGAGTTCCCAAGCTGGGAACACAACTGGCTGTGCTGATTTACAAGGCTTCTGGCTTCCCCAGTGAATCCCAGGTGAAGCCAGGCTGCCTGTTCCCCGCATGATAGCCAAGGCTGGGCAGGGACGATGCCCCCTCGCTGTGGGCTCCAGCTCCTAACAGAGCTGAGCAGTATTTTTTAACAACTTGTGGGAAAAACAGGGTTTTTTGGAGGGTGCTGCATTTATGTACATACTCAGGCCACCTTCAGCAGAGAGTCCCTCGGAAATGAAAACGGGGGAAATGGGTGAGAAATGTTTCATTTCGGCCTTTCATAACTTCAAAAGGTTTACAAACACATATTCAGGGACTCCTGCCTCCGCCTGCCCCGCTGGCAGCCGCGAGAGGGCGATCTGTATCCATTCACCCACCCATCCTTCCATCCGTCCAGGTAAAACCATGGCCAGGTACCGACGCAACACACACACCGATAAATACAGGGTATCGTTTACAGAAGAGATCATACATTATCCTATACACGATATTATACCTCTCTCTACAGTGTGTAGCACCTATAGAAGGGCCTTCGAATGTCTATAAAAATACATATTTATATACATATACTACAGATACACACAATATTTATTTACACAAACGCTATATATATACACTACATATATACACACTATATACACAGTCTCTCTATATACAAACACATATATACATTATCTATATACAATGGTAATAACTCTACAGTACATTGTGTAGATACACACAATATATATTTACACAAACGCTGTACATATATACATATATACATATATATACACTACATATACCCTGCCTCCCAGGAACACTGTGCCCAGGAACGCCTACTCAATTTGACTGATCCATCCACTCCAAGAAGAATATTGTCACTTTTGATGTCTCTGTGAATCACTCGATTTGAATGAAGGAAGTCCAGTCCTTTCAGGCACTGAGATTAAACACAGAAACACAAGGGGAAAATTAATTAGGCTGATTTTATCCCACAAAAAAGGAAATAGCTCTTAAAAGATCAAATTTCCAGGTGACACATCAATTGCAGACATACTTCAAGTGGCAAAGTGTAGAATAATAAATAAAATAAAATGAAATTAAACTAGAAAGGAAAGTACAACAACATTATAGGAGTATAATAACAGAGTACAAGAAATGCAGTGAGACTGGCAGGCCGTTCACTTGGATGCTCTTTTCTTCTCCACATCATAACAGCAACGCAGAAACAAAGCTCTGAACAGGAAATCACTCCTGTTCTTACCACCTTTTGCAAAGAACCATCCTGTCCAAGCTGTCAGAAGCAAGAGCAGCATCCCTTACCTCCCGACTGATAGAGGCTATCATCTCTTCCTCAAGAGCTTGTATGGAAACCACAGCAGCTAAGGTGCATCCCTCCACATATTCCGTCACCAGCCAGTTCTTCATTGAAAAGGTAGCTGAAAGAAGAAACCCACAGCATGGAGATGAATGGGCCCAGCTAAATGACCTTATGGGAAAGACTGCAGTTGAGTTTTCTTGCCAGGTCACTTGTAAATGAAGAGAGAATCTGAGCAGGCTAAATGAGAAAGGCTCATCTGTGAAAAAGGAGATGTCTTAGATGGCAAGCAAGGCAAAAATGCAGTTTAGTGGCAGCAGAGAGAAATGTGGAACCAGGACAGTGCCATCAGCTGCTTCATCATCTTAACTCATCCCTTCCAGCCTGAACTGCAGGAAGCAGGCAACACAGACTTCTCCATGGGAGGAGAGTGTGCACCACTGAGGGCAGATGTTGGTCAAGCCCTTGGAAAGCATTGCATAGAGTGCATTCAGAAACAGGGAAAACCGTTTAAAACCTGGCACATTGTGTGGTTGTGCAAACAAGAGCCTAGTCTTCCTGGCATCCACAGCAACAGAAAGTAGAGGGAAAACCCCAAGGGCAATCATTTCTAGGTGGGTTAATCAGCACGTATCATTAAGGCACAGAAAAGATGATCAGTTTGAAAAAACCAGACCCCAAAAGAACAGGGAGGTAGTGAACTGAAGGGCTGTGGCTTTAGGAAGACATGGCAGATGCAAGTTTTGGAAGACACGCTTCAAACTACCTATACCAGAAAAGGCCAAGGCAGACACAAGGCAAGCTCCTCCCTGAAGGAGCTAAGAGACCTGTGCCCTGCACCTCCCGTCCACTGCAGGTGGAGGAGTTGAGAAATAATGAAGAGCTCCATGTTCTTCCAGTGACCAAAGTGGCTTTTTAGCCTTTGGCTTGCAGTGTGTCAATGATGTGATAATCCCAGAACCACTCACCTGTCTATATAGCGAATGATATTGGGGTGCCTCATGCTACTCAGGAGTGAAACCT